CCAACCAGTCCATCCTAAAGGAGATCAGTCCTGGGTGTTCATTGGAAGGACTGATGCTGAAGCTGAAACTCCAATACTTTGGCCACCTGATGCAAAGAGTTGACTCATTTGGAATGACCCTGATGCTGGGAAAGATTGAGGGCAGGAGGAGAAGGGGACGACAGAGTATGAGATGGTTGGATGGCATCACCGACTCGATGGACATGGGTTTGGGTGGACTCTGGGAGTTGGTGATGGACAGGGAGGCCTGGTATGCTGCGGTTCATGGGGTCGAAAGGAGTCGGACACGACTGAGTGACTAAACTGAACTGAACTTTGTGCTTTGGGGTTAGGGAAGTCCTTTTGGGTAACTCATGATGACTGTCAACCTCCAGAGAGAGATTGTAATGCTCTACATTCTTACCTGAAGTCCATGACTTCAACCGAAGTGAAATAGCGGTTCAGAGCTGGTGAATCACTGTACACGTGTGTCACCTAAAACAAACAGGGGCAAGTTCACAACCACACATCACAGCCAGATCACACTGCACATCACCTGACAAGCAAAACTACTCCTGGGTGATGGAAATTCCACCCTAGGGAGGAATGAACTTACCAAGAGGCTCTGGGTGAAGAAACATGAAGGGGTGGGCCCCACACCAACCTAAATTCAAGTTGGCACTCATTTAAAGGGACCTCATTCGTAAGGACCAAGTGATCAGGCTGGGATTTTCAGCAACTCTTACATGTTGCACTGTGATGTGTGGTCTGACTGGTCAACAGCCTGAGCCCACAAAGACCCAAGCACCATGGGAAGGAGGGAATCTCCAAGGGGCTGGGAAGACAGAATAGGCGACTCAGGGGCCTGCACATCACCAGACAAAGAAAGGCCTCTTCTCTCCTTGCCCGGGAACTTCACTCCAAGGAGACACAGCCATGTGGTTTCTGGATAATGCAACCAAATGAGTGGTACAATTGCAATGATATAAAGTTCTTATTTTAGCCATCAAGCGTTGCAACCATAAAAAACAAGGACACCGTGTTCCCACTCACCAGGTTTCAGCCCTTCACATTTTACCACATGTAGCTGAGCCCTTTACCTGAAGAAACAGCACAGCTAATGTTATTCTCACACACTATTCCGCCTTCCTCTCTCCCTGCCCACTACGAACCACTGTCCTGAAGCTGTCGTGTATCTTTTCCACACATGTTTTTATGGATGCAACACTCTCTTGTGTAATCATAACTATATGTAATTTTTTTTTTTTTTTTTTGGCTGCTCCACACCAGCATGCGGGATCTTAGTTTTCCAACCAGGTATAGAACCCATGCCCCCTGCAATGGAAGTGTAGAGTCTTAACCACTGAACTGCCGGGGAAGTCCCCAAAGACTTGATCTTTTTAAAAATACATATATAAGTTCAATGCATGTTTTTATTCAAATAAAACACCATATTCTACACCTTCTCTGTTTTGATTTTTTTTCACTCAAAATCACATTTGCAGTTTACCCACAATGGTCCCTTGGAGAGCATGGAGATCAAACCAGTCAACCCTAAAGGAAACCAACCCTGATATTCATCGACAGGACTGATGCTGTAGCTAAAGCTCCAATACTTTGGCCACTTGATTTGAAAAGCCAACTCACTGAAAAAGAAAAGACCCTGATGCTGGGAAAGATCGAAGGCAGGAGAAGGGGATGACCTAGGACGAGATGATTGGATGGCATCACCGACCCAATGGACATGAGTTTGAGCAAGCTCCAGGAGATGGTGAAGGACAGGGAAGCCTGGCGTGCTGCAGTCCGTGGGGTGGCAAAGAGCTGAACACAATTGAGAGACTAAACAACAACAGCAACACAATGTGCCTCCAGATGGCGGTCACTCGGTCCGACTCCGAACTCTGCAGGGATCCCGTGAAATGACAGCTCCTCCCCTCCCCTCCTGGGGGCCATGTGCTTTGTTTCCGACTGTCTCCTGCCACAACTCTGCTGTTAATCTGCTCGAGCATCCCTAGGCCTCTCTTCTCATAGAGGTTACGAGATTCCCTGGGCCATATGCCAAGAGGAGGACTTGGGTCTAAGAGTTAGCACATCTCCACCTTAACTCTTTCCGAATCGCACTCCATTTCACTGCCCTCCCACCAACGTACAAGTGCTCTATTGCCCACAGCCTTGCCAGCATTTAAGGTTACCAAGATTTTTCAATTTTTGCCAATCTGATGAGTTTTCATTGTGTTTACACTGTCATATTGTGTTCTAGTGAGGCTGACTGTCTTTTCAGGTGTCTATTAACTGTGGGATTTCTCAGCTTTGAACTGTCTGCCAGTGTTCTTTCTCTCGGGTTGCATTTTCTTACCCAAACTGCTTTACACTCTGGATACTAGTGTTGGTTTGATGTCACAGATATCTTCTCCCACTCTTTGATTAGTCTTTCCATCATGCTTCAGAGACGTAAACCCTAACCTATAGTACTCCAGAACTTGTGGCTGAACGCATTTACATTGCATCTCTTTAAAATTATTACTTTGGTCTTGCCCATCTTGCAAGATGGCGGGTGAAAAGGCTGAGAAGCCAGATACTAAGGAGAAAAAACCTGAAGCCAAGAAGGCTGATGCTGTCAACAAGGCTAAAAAGGTGAAGGTGGTGAAGAAAGTTAAGAAGGGGAAGCCCCACTTCAGCCGAAACCCTGTCCTGGGCAGAGGAGTTGGCAGATATTCCTGATCACCCGATTCCAGAAAGGCCCTGTACAAGAGAAAGTATTCAGCAGCTAAATCCCAGGTCGAAAAGAAAAAGAAGTTCGGGTTCTTGCTACTGTCACAAAACCAGTTGGTGGCGACAAGAATGGTGGTACCTGAGTGGTCAAACTTCGCAAAATGCCTAGGTATTACCCTACTGAAGATGTGCCTCGGAAACTGTTGAGTCACGGCAAGAAACCGTTCAGTAAGCATGTGAGGAAGCTGCGGGCCAGCATCACTCCTGGGACCGTTCTGATCATCCTCACGGGGTGCCACAGAGGCAAGGGGGTCGTTTTCCTGAAGCAGCTGGGCAGGGGCTTGCTACTTGTGACTGGGCCTCTATCCCTCAATCGAGTTCCTCTGCGTAGAAGACACCAGAAATTTGTCATTGCCACCTCCACCAAAATCGATTATCAGTGGTGTGAAACTCCCAGAACATCTCACTGACACTTACTTCAAGAAGAAGCAGCGCGTAAGCCGAGACACCAAGAGGGTGAGATCTTCGACACACAGAGAGAGAGAAATATGAGATCACAGAGCAGTGCAAGGTTGATCAGAAAGCGGTGGACTCACAAATTCTGCGAAGAATCAAAGCTCTCCCTCAGCTCCAGGGTACCTCCGCTCTGTGTTTGCTCTCACAAATGAAATTTACCCTCACAAAGTAGTATTCTGAACTTCTTGCAAAGAACCTAATTAGATAACTTGTCCATTTAAAAAAAAAATTATTACTTTGAAGTTTAAGTGCCTTGTTCTTAGCAGGCAGGAGGACAGTGCTGGGATCTGGGTACTCCCCCAGCATGAATCCAGCTCTGAGGCTGGAAGCAAGCCTGTAGCTAGACCCACTCCTGCTGGCCTGAAGCCTCAGGCCCAAAGTTGCTCTGGAAACTTCACCCCCATGGGTCCTCTGTGCTGAGCTCGGCATGCCCCACTGCGCCCATCATGGCTTGTCGCCTCACTGCTTTATTCCGCAGCAAGCAGCAGAACCACCCCCGAGGAAAGCCTGCCCATTTCTCCCACCCACCCTCGGCAGAATCTCAAGGAGGCTGCATCCGTTGTTTGCTCCCACTACACTCACGGGTAACAATCCAATTTCCCCAAGGTAGGGCAGAGGGGTTTAGAGCACTTCCTCCAACCCGGCCACTACTGCTGTCATCGGCATCAGAAGCTGACAGAATGGGCACTATCTCTGCCCTCTGTTCCCTTTGTGCTGATGGAAAAAATAAAAAAACTCTAGGCCTTCAGGGAGGTCACTCTGCTAGTAAGGAATCTAGTCCTGGATGTACAGACAGCCCAGCGTCCTCACGTTTTACCACACAACCCGTGCAGATGGAGCGAGGGGGAAAGTGTCTCCTGAACAACAAGGACAAAAGCAGCATAAAGCGTCAAGAACTCTGTGGGGAAGATGACTGGGCCATCCTAGAGTTTCTGAGGCCCAGAGAAAGCTGCCAACAGTCATTTAGAAAACCCTGAATGCAGTTGCGGAGGTTGGCGCAATCCCAGGACTGCTCAGAACAGGGAGGAGGATGAGGATGCCAGAGGGGGCATTTTTTCTCAAGCGCTGAAAATATAACAACAATAGCCCTCTCTTCCTTTTATTTTTTAATTTACTTTAATTGCAGGATAATTACTTTACAATATAGTGATGGTTTCTGCCAAACATCAGTATGAATTGGCCATAGGTATACATGTGTCCCAGTCATTCTGAAGCCCCCACCTGCCTCGCTCCCCACCCTGTCCCTCCAGGTTGGCAGAGAGCACCAGCTTTGAGTGCCCTGCGTCATATAGCAAACCCCACCTGGTTATCCCTCTCTTCCTTTTAGATTGAGCTTCTTCTGTCAGAAATTATGTCTGTCCTTCCTTCTTTTTTCCCTCCCTCTCATTCTTCCTTTCATTAATTCTTAGGGTCCTAAGCACTGTGTTTTGCACATTGATACTCAGAAAAAGGTTTAAAATTTCATGTTAAGAGATGGCGTGGTATACTAGATCAATTTCAGTGTCCACTCTAACATTTTTTTTTGTGGCACCATCACCTACTATGATTAGGAAATATTTACATATTTAGGAGCTGTCAACCACACTACTTTGGGATCAAAAGAGTGAAAAGAGGCGCTCCTCACCCCTTGCTCTGGTGTTTCCCAAACTGTGCCAGTGAGGCTGAGTGCAAACTGAGCTTTGAGCCCAGTGAGCCGATCACCAGAGTCAGGCACAGCGGCTCATCAGGAACCAGTTTCCATTATTTACAATGGAGCTTTCCAGGTGGTCCAATGGTTAAGAATCCGCCTGCCAATGCAGGAGACTCAGGAGACAGGAGTTCAATCCCTAGGCGGGAAGATCTCCTGGAAAAAGAAACAGCACCCCACTCCAGTACTCTTGCCTGGAAAATCCCATGGACAGAGGAGCCTGGAGGGGCTGCAGTCCACGGGGTCACAAAGAGTCGGACACGACTGAGCGCACACACACACAATTACTCACTACAGCCAAGATATGGGCGCAGCCTAAGAGTCCATCGCCAGATGCACGGACAAAGGAGAGTGGCATACGCAGACGATGGAAGACTACTCAGCCATGAAAAAGCATGAAGTGCTGTCATTCGAAACAACATGGATGGGCTTGGAGGGTACTAAGTGAAACAAGTCAGAGAATGACAGATACTGTGTGATATCAATTATATGCAGAATCTAAAAAGTAAAAGAAATGAGTAAATATAACAAGAACAAAAAAGAAACAGACTCACAGATGCAGAGAACAAACTAGTGGTTATCAGGGGAGAGTGAGGAGGGGGAGGGGCAAGATGCGGGCAGGGGGTTAAGCAGTACAAACTACTATACATAAAATAAACAGGCAGTAAGGATGCATTATATAACACAGGGAATATAGCCTATATTCTTTAGCAACTATAAGAGGAACGTGATCTTAAAAACTGTGAATCACTATGTCATACACCTGAAACATATAATACTGTGTATGAACTATATCTCAATTTTTTTTAAGTAATAATGTTAAAAAAAGAAAAAAACCTTCCAGTGGAAGAGGGACATTTCCCCTGCATTACCAGAAGGGCCACTGCTGGCCCTGGCATGGAGCAGGTAAGCTGAGCTATGACGCTGGGCAGCTACCGGGCTAGCTTGAGCAAAGTTATCAGCCCAATCCGAAGCGAAGGAGACTGGCAGTGAGGCATGAGAGGAGCCAGGAAAACTGTGCCTAGAAAAGCAAGACAATAAAGCAGAAGAGAGGGTGCAGTGTTTCAATGTCCATTCCCATTCACTTTCCAAACTGAAACTGGCCTAAGTGGAAGAAAAGGGTTCTCGATCTGACAGTAAGATGGTGATATCTCCAAGTTCCTCAGTTTTTTCCCCTGAACATTTGTTGGCAAACCAGAGAGCAGAAGTTTCTTCACCTCACTGCACCTTATGTTTATCACCTGCAAATCAGATAATTTTTTTTAAAAATGCCGTACAAAGTTCTTTATATGCATCTGTGGGTACACAGGGAAAGCGAGGTGATTTCCATTTATCACAGTAGGAACCAACTCAAAGAGGCCTGTGAACTTGCCCCAGAGACCCACCAGTCCCCGTTCCTCAGCCATTATACCACAATGAATTAAAAACACCTGTAGAAGCTGCTCACATCTGCTTCTATGACCAGAGATGGCTTTTAGGTGAGTGAGTGACATCCATTTCCCTCTGACATAGACCAGTCTGTAACAGTGACAACTGTGGATGCTGACTCACTTGGTTTCTCCTCGGCCAATGCAAAACCTCTCAATCAAAAAAGTAAAAAAGAGGGTATTGCCCTAGCCATCCACTGGTTAAGATTCTGCCCTTCAGTAAATAAAGGGAACTCACCCCGTTCAACCTATCTACCACAGGGACGAGAGTAACAGACAGCAGGCTGGTCATGCTTAGATTTTGTTCTCAAAAACTTCTCTGGGTCTGACTGAACCACTCTGTCTTTGACAGGATAACCAGGGCTGCTCCGACCAGCCTTTATGGTCCTACTGCAGAGCCCTCATAACACACAGAGGCACCTTCTCCTCTTTCCCCGCTCCATGAACGATATCACCATCCACCCATGTGGCCACCCAGCCAGAAGCCTGGAGCCATGCTCTCCCTCAGCCCACATCCTACCAGCCACGAAGTCCTATTGAGGGAGCAGACCTCTGAAATCTCACCTGAACCTCAATTATCTCCCCTGACATCACCCTAATTCTAGGCTCCCTCACTTGTCACCCTTCTAACTAAGCCCTCCACTTCCAATGTTTTCCCATCATCACAGAAAGACTAAAATGAGAAGTTGACCATGTCAGCCTGCAGATGAAAATCTTCCAGGACCTCACCAAAGAACCGGAAACCTTCGTGATCTGACCCCTCCCTTTCCGTTCAGCCTCACCTCTACATTTCTGCTACACAGTATGTGGAGCTTGTAGCACACTGCTGGGCAGACACCCTTGTGTCCTCTGCTCTCTAATCTGGAATACCCCTACTTCACATTTCAAGACTCATCCTGAGCCTCGCCTCCTCCAGGAGGCCCTCCAAGCCTCCATCTCCTCTGCGGTTGTAAATCACACCGTACATGTCTCAGTGATGGAACACACCACACTGCTCATAACTATTTAATTGCTTCCTCTTGGACTCCAAATTCTTCCAACTGGGACTTTGAGCCCCACTGAGGGCACAGCCTCTATGGCCCTGGCACTAAGCATGTTGTCTAGCACCTCACAGACCCTCAATAAAATTTCAGGTTGAATCAAACCTAAGACCAGAGTGAGAAACAGAATACTGTCCTCCAGGACACATTCAGCTGGAAACCAGGGCTCTTCCTTCCGGCTCTGCACTACAGAAAATCTATTTCTAAGCACTGGTTTCTGCCAATATCCAAAGAATCCAAGCTTGAAGCTACTTACTGGCTAGCTCTAACCCAGCTGTTCCAGAAGAATTCACACTCTAATGCTAAGAACTCAGTAATAACACATAAGGTAACTTACCCGCTTCTGGAGCATGTCAGGTAATTCCTCTTCAGAAACACACTCCTCTGGAATCTTTAGCATGACCGAGAATGTTTCATTTGACGACAATTCAAGTATTTCATTTTCATCTTCATCAATATAAGTTACTAAACAGAATGGGGGGGTGGGATAAAAAGTTAAAGTAAGCACATGCATAAAATAACAAACATTCATTCCATTGGCTGCTATACTTAAGAAATAAACGAACAATGAGTATTCATCAAGCCTAGTCACAGTAAGCAAGTATGAGCAGAAATGCTTTCTTTTTCTCAGGTAGGCTGAATAAAGACAGGGGCTTGCCTCCATCACAATAAAATTTTGTTTCTTTATCTGACGACAGAGGGGGCTCAGATTCCATTGAACACAGACTGGGTGAAAGGCAGCTGGAAGAGGTGGGAAGAACATGAATTTCTTTGTCAAACTGACTCTTGCAACTTAGCTACTTTTACAGGTGTCAAGGCAGGTGCTAGAGATGGCCAACAAACAACAGGAGATGGGGGACAGGAGCAGAGCAACGGATTTCCCTGAATCCCCTGTGCTTTTGTACCCACGCTGAGGACGTGACATCATTGAGAACAGCTCCTGGGTTAGAATCTGAGCCAGTGAGCATGAAGTCATCACTCTCCAGGATGTCCCACGGGGGAAATGTTGACACACTCTGTTTGTAGAAGGAACGCACACTGCACTCAGAGTCCCAGGGCCCGCGGGACTCACATTCCTAAGACAACAGTTCTGTGCTGCTTGCATTCCAAGGACTGTGAGCTAACTGACTTTTAAGTAGTTAGAGCCAAAGGGAAAACACACTAAGTCAGCAGCCAGGAGCTTGAAGCTGGCGCACTGGCACTCACTAGGCTCCCTGGCCCCCTGCCAGCACCACCTGGGGACCACCTCTCCAACCCTGAGAAAAGCGTGGGTGGGAGGAGCCCGGTGTTTGTGGGCCATGGACTTCTCTGTAATCCCGTGCCTCAAACATAACATTATCAGTCTCTTTACTGGACTTTGCAAAGGCCACTGTGGTATCGACTCTGGGTTTACGATGCAAGTGAGAGTCCAGGTCCTTATTCCCTGAGGAAGTCTGAAGTGTGAGCCACAAGATCAAGGGACGTTGCAGAAGAGTTAACACAGCAGGTCGGAGGCTGCCAGCCTTGGCAAGGCCAGTGCAAGGTTGACCCCTTACTGGAATCTGGAACTTGGATTCCCAGAGAATTCCCACATTCCCTGTAAGAGTGGCTAGCTGTGCCTCAACTGTTTACAGAAACAGCGCGGCTTGTGCCGAGCCTCTCCTTTCCTTCTGGGAGTCTGGGGTTTTAGTAGGTGCCAGGCAGAGCCTGCCCATGTGACCAATCCCAATATAAACTGAATCTCTAATAAGCTTCCTTGGTGGACAAGACTTCACATGTTGCTGCCACAACTCATTGCTGGAGAAATTAAGTGCACCCTGTGTGACTGCACTGGACGAGAATTCTTGGAAGCTTGCCCCTGGTTTCCTCTTTATTTTGCTTTATATCCTTTAGCTGTAATAAATCATAATCACCTTTACAATATATGCTGAGTATCATGTGTCTTATCAGCAAATCGATGAATCTGGGGGTAATCCTGGGAACCCCAACACAGGGAATTATCCCTGCATCATTATTTGTTGTAAGTCATCATGTTATTTTGTCTGAGAATAAAAAGTTATGCCCTCAGGAATTTCCTGGTGGTCCACTGGTTAAGACTCGGCACTTCCACTGCTATGGCCCTGCATTCAACCCCTGGTCACGGAACTAGGATCCCACAAACCACCACTCAAAAAAAAAAAAAAAAAGACTTAGGGCCTCAAAGCAGAAAACTTGCAAAGTATAGAAAACTGCAGTAAAGCAAAAAAAAATTACTAATAATTCTTTAATCAAAAGGTCTCACCCCATATTTTATATATTTGAGGTCTTAATGAAAAGGTAATTTGTATATGGCTTTTTATTGTTTGCTGCCCTCATTGTTTATCTGTCTTGATTCTTTTGTTGCTGTTATTAACATATCAAAAGGCATTTCCCACGTGTTCAAAATTCCTTGCAAAGATTATTTTAATGGCTACATTATTGTTCTAAAATCATTTAATGTTTTCAGCTTTCCAAAGTTATAAATAATGCTGCAATGGGTATCTTTGAGCTCTACACCCACCATGTGCATTTCCAGAGTAGATATCATTACCTCAGAAAAGAATAGGGATGCCAGAGAATGGATACAGGAGTCACAGAACTGCTGAACTCAAGGGCATTAAGAAATGCCAAGTTCACCATTGTATATACTTGTTTCCTTTGCCATAGACTAATTATGGGTTTACATTGATCTAGATTTCTGTTTTTGTGCCAGTGTGATACTGTTTTGATGAGTATGGCTTTGAAGTATAGTTTGAAGACAGGGAGCCTGATTCCTCTAGTTCCTTTTTCCTTTCCCAAGGTTGCTTTGATAATTCAGGGTCTTTCCTGTTTCCATACAAACTTAAAAAAATTTTGTTCTAGTTCTGTGAAAAATGGTAATTGTAAATTGTAATTGTAGTTTGTATTTGTAATTATAAATTATAATTGTAAATGTCATTGGTAATTTGATAGGGATCGCAGTGAATCTGTGGACTGTTTTGGACAGTATGGTCACTTTGACAATATGGATTCTTCTGATCCAAGAACAAGGTACATCCTTCCATCTGTTTGTGTGTTCTTCGATTTCTTTTATCAGCATTTTATAGTTTTCAGAGTAAGGGCCTTTCACCTCCTTAGGTAGCTTTATTCCAAGGTATTTTATTGTTTTTGGTACGAAAGTAAATGTGATTGTGTCCTTAATTTCTCTTTCTGATCTTTCATTGATAGTGTATAGAAATGCAACAGATTTTTGCATATTAATTTTGCATCCAATAACTTTACCAAATTCATTAATGAGCTCTAGTAGTTTTCTGGAATTGTGTTTAGGATTTTCTAAGTATAGCATCATATCATCTGCAAACAGTAACTGTTTAACTTCTTTTCCAATCTGGATGCCTTCTATTAAGAAATGCTGAGATCAAAAAGAGGTCTCTAATAATAGCTCTACTGTAATAACTTGTATGTTCTGAATAATGAATCTGTACAAGAACTAGCTAAAGAGTTGTGTCTGTTAAAATAGTAACAACAGCCACAATAGGCTTAGCCAGTCAGCAGAATCTTTATGTTATTAATGAGATTTAATCTGGACAGTATTTCCAGGTAGAGAAAAATGTCTTTTAAAAATCATAGTACATACACAAAGTACATTGTTGTTGTTGTTCAGTGGCCCAGTCATGTCCGACTCTTTGTGACTCCATGGACTGCAGCATGCCAGGCCTCCTCGTCCCTCACCATCTCCCAAAGTTTGCCCAAGTTCATGTCCATTGTTGAGATTTAACATGGGCAGTATTTCCAGGTAGAGGAAATGTCTTTTAAAAATCATAGTATATACAAAAGTACATTGGAAATACACAAAAATAGCTCTTTGGCAGGAATATAAGAAATGAGCCCAGAGAGGGAGGCCTTAAATGCCAGATGTCTTCAGGAGATAACGGAAGTTGTTAAATGTCTCCCAGGAAGGAGACAGGGGGAAATCTGTTGGTGACAGGTGGGATGATAGGGAACTGGGGGGGACTGGAGGTAAAGAGGCCACTGGACGCCAGAATAGGAAAGACAGATTTCAACTGACAGGCGTGAGAAGAGGAAGGAAGGAGAGGGAAGAGGAAGACCAGGATGATGGAAACAGAGCCAGACGCAGTTTGAATTCCACCTCAGCCAGTCACAAGCCATGTGACTTAGGTAATTTAAATCTCTGAAGCAGTTTCCTCAACAGAAATACCAATGCCTACACTGTAGCTGATGGTAAAGGTAAGAACCACCATATCCAGCAGGGAGCCTAGAAGTAGGTGGGTAGTCAATGTTGAAATTTACTATCAAGACACTACCAAGGAATGATTGATAAGACCTAGTCATTATCTAGCTACAGGAGAGAAGAAGAAATCAAAAATGTTCCAAAGAATCAACCATGGGTAACATGAAGAATAACAGCTGCTATATTAAGCATTATGCATAGACATCCTGCTATGCACTTGCAGTTTTTAACCTCATGTAATCCTCCAATCAACCTTAGGAATAAATATTCATGTTGTCATTTTAAAATGAAGACATTCTTAGAAAAAAGGCATAATTTGCTTAGGTCAATTGGGCTAGTTAAGTAGGAGGGTCAGGGTATATTTATAGACACAGATTCAGACATCACTTATATTTTACAAATGAGGAAACTGAGGCCATGAACATTGAAGAATTTGCCTAAAGTTACACAATTGGATGATATAAACCTGGCTTTATGATTCACCATGAAAATATAAAGGGTGAGGAAGGGGATTCCCACAAATAGTAGTTTCAGATGAATGATTAAGACAGTGATAGTTATTTCCAGGTTGAGAACTCCAGCAAAGAGCATGACTAAAACTCAGGAAAAATGTGTGCATGAATTTCTCGGAGTCATTTCCAAGATGGGGATGGCCACTGACTTGGGACTAAATGAACTTCTAAAAGGAAAGAACGAAGAATGAGAAAAGTCAGAAACCTGAAGATATGTCTCCTGCAACCACAACAAAGAGGCCAAAGGCAGAAATAAAGTCCGGGAGTTCTGAAGGCCTGAAAGAGTACAACACAGCTGAGAGAGCTGACAGCTGCAAACAGGGCAGAGAGGGGAAGGGAGAAAGACCACTGGGCTTCATCATCAGACACTTGCTGTTGACCTTAGGAAGAGAATTTGGGACCAACGGATACAGTGGTTTAGGAGTACAGATCTCTCTTTCTAGAAGTTTGCCAGTGAAAAAAGAGAGAAATATCTAAATGAAGTAGCAAGATGCTGATGGAAGACTGCTCTGAAAGAGAGACTATGAGCACATTTGAAGAGCCCCAAGAGGATGCTTTTAGAGAAGGCGTGCAATATCTGGAAGTCCACAGGTCAGAAGAAGCTGGAGAGGATTCTATGGAGAGCACAGGTGAAGAGGTTGGTCTTAGGAAGGCAGCGGATTATATGATACATGAGGGAAAGAGAAGCAGGGGAAAATGCAGAGAAATTTCAAGGTCCTGGACTATGAAGCTCCTGCTCCCAAGGACCTTGCTGTCTGCCTAGGATTTTCCCAAAGTCACCCTATACCAGGGAGCAACCTGTGCGACCTATTTATCTATCAGGACTGTGTGATGTTGTAAGATGTGGTTCTTATTTCCAAGATCTGGTAAGAGAGCTGGGAGGCATCACATAAGGGTTTCTAAACTATTAAAAATGGTCACCTTTCAATCACATTTGTAAGCATCTACCTACTTGTCACAGTTTGCATTCTGTAACACTTAAAATATTTTTGCCCAAACCAAGGAAGGGTTTCACTAGTTAAGGTGTCCCTAGGACACCTGCCTGGTTGGGACAGGTTAATAAAGAAAGCAGAGTCCTCGAGGATGCTTAAATGATTCTTCAAATTATCCAGACAGGAAAGGACTTAGAGAGAGGAAGGGAGGGAGACAGAAAGGAAAGCTTCCCCCAACCCTGCCCACTGCCTTTACCCTTCACAACAAGGAATTTATAATTTCTTAGGGAGAAGGAGAGAATCCATCAGTATTTCTCTTTTTGAGAGCTGGATCAAAACTAGGCCTCCAGAGACAACAAGGAGATTCTCTGATCTATGCCCCGCCCCCAAATTGTCCATTTTAAGAAAGTCTCAAAAAGAAAAAAATTATAATAATAAAGTTTCATTGTCTCCATGAGCCTGGAGGAGTGTTAGCCTCTGATCCACAGTATGGACACAACCCAGGGTCAATGCCTTAAGCTGAGCTGTGATCCTAACTTTCCATCACTTCAGTGGCATACCAAGGGCAGAGTGGGGGGCCAGCTCATCCCAGGTACAGGCAAGAAGGGATGCACTATCTGTATAGAATTAATAATAATGCAACTGACCACAGGATGGTCTGTTTGTATTATCACCACATCATGGCCATTCCTATCAATGTCAGTGACAAGACACAGCTCCCCCCAGGCATCTCATTCTGGGTACCCTATTGTCCCCTCCCTAGAATTGGATGCCCTTCCACACTGGGATACAGTTAATGTCCACTCCAGCTCCGTGGGTATTATCATCTTCATCTCTAAGCCTCAGTCTGGGGACCGCAGAGCCCTGAGACAGTAGAGTACAGAGGCGGGAGGAAGGGAATGGCAAGCAAGGTCCTGAGAAACTTCAATTCTGAATGAAGAGATAGCATCACTTCTTAACAAATGCATACTCATCCCTTTGTTTTATATATTGAAGTATAGTTGCCATACAATATTATATAAGTTATGAAAAGAAAGTGAAGTTTTCTCAGTCATGTCCGACTCTTTGCGACCCCATGGACTATAGAGTTCATGGAATTCTCCAGGCCAGAATACTGGAGTGGGTAGCCCTGGTCTTCTCCAGGGTATCTTCCTGACCCAGGGATTGAACCCAGGTCTCCCGCACTGCAGGCAGATTCCCTACCAGCTGAGCCACAAGGGAAGTCCATGGATACTGGAGTGGGTAGCCTATCCCTTCTCCAGCGGATTTTCCCAACCCAGGAATTGAACTGGGGTCTCCTGCATTGCAGGCGGATTCTTTACCAACTGAGCTATCAAGGGTACAATATAGTGATTCACAATTTTTAAAGGTTATAATACATTCATAGTCATTACAAAATACTGGCTACATTTCCCGTGTTGTACAATATATCCCTGTCGCTTATTTTATACCTAAAAGCTTGGATTTCTTTCCCCCTTACCCATTTATCGCCCCTCCCACATTCACTAATGAAGGCACAGCCTTTGACTTTCCCAGGCAGCAGCATTTCCCACAGATTGCCAAGAGGTTCTATCAACATTTGATTCATATCAATGGGCCTGGCAATTGAACAATGGCTGATTATTGCAGACTATCATCCCAGGCATACCCATGGAGCTGCTCTGGGTGAGGCTGGGACGCCCAGAGGGAGTCCTGTCCTTCCTCCTTCTTACCTACCGTATCCCCCAACACCCACACTAGACTCTCCCCACAGGCCCAAACCCTTGAAAGTTCAGGTGCCAAGTAAAGTAAAAGTATTTCCCTTATTTAAAAAAAGTAAAAGTTTGAAAATCTCTTGGAGCGTCAACACTTTTAAACAATTTTATAACTAAATTAAAAAGAAAGTTTGCGCCACAGGTGTTAAGAAAAAGTTCTTCCCTAAATATGATCCTGTAAACTCTCCTGTCCCCTGAGAAACTGTGGAGGGAAATGGAATCCTTTCCTCTACAATTTGTTCTTCATGATTTGAAGTTAAATGACTCTCTGAGAATGGAAGACAGCTCTAGGGTCTTGAGTCTTTGGGGTTTTGTCTGTTTTCTTTTTTCTCCATACACTTGGCGGGATCTTCGTTCCCCAACCAGAGATCAAACTCATGCATGGAGTCAACCACTGCACCATCAGGGAAGTGCCTGGGTCCAGGGCTTTAGAATCCTGAATATCAACCAAACCAACCAGATCTGTGGCACCATCCTCTGTTACAGGCTCCCGATGCTAGCAGACCGATCAGCCAACGTTCAGGACAGCACTGGCTGCTTGTGACAGGACAAGGCTGTGGGACTCAGTTCAGTTTCAACATCTACACGTGGGAGCTGATGGGAAGAGGGAGCTCCAACACTCACACTAAACCTACTGTCCTCGGTGTGACGGGGGGGCAGCAGCACCCCTTGTCAGCTGCTCCCCGCCTCAGGCCCGCTGCTCCCCGCCTCAGGCCCGCTGCTCCCGCCTCAGACCCGCTGCTCCCCGCCTCAGGCCCGCTGCTCCCCGCCTCAGGCCCGCTGCTCCCCGCCTCAGGCCCGCTGCTCGCCGCCTCAGGCCCGCTGCTCGCCGCCTCAGGCCCGCTGCTCGCCGCCTCAGGCCCGCTGCTCGCCGCCTCAGGCCCGCTGCTCCCCGCCTCAGGCCCGCTGCTCGCCGCCTCAGGCCCGCTGCTCCCCGCCTCAGGCCCGCTGTGGCCGCAAGGCCACAGCATCCCGCCTCACACCACCGTAAACGGCTGAGCAAACATGGCGGCCGCCTGGGAGGCGCGCGCGCTGGAGGCCGGCACACCTCATCAGGGTTTTCCTGTTCCTCCAGGGACCGTAAAACCTTGAGACAGGAGGCCAAAGGACTGGGGCAAGGCGGAAAGGAGGCGAGTAAGAATGCAGTCCCGTAGGAGAACCCCCAGGGCCCCCTCTGCAGAAACTCGGGCCGCCACCCTGGCTCTCGTTCTGTGAGTGGGTTTGCTACGGACAGCCCGGCTCCACCTTAATCCTGTGTGACCAGATCACGCTCGTGATCCACTTCAGAGTGAATATCCCCGCTTCAAAAGAGCCCCCGCACACCGCTGCAGCCTGCATTTCATCACATACAAATGAAAGCATTTTCTTTTCTTTTTTGAAACAGAAATGATTGCCCACTAGGTGGCGCTATATTCGGCATCATAGAAATACTGAAAATCATTAAAAAAATACTGATAATCATAAAAAAAAATAATAGCAACTACCAAAAGACTTTTAAAAGTGTGGGAGAGTATATCATGCAGTAGTTTAAAAATATATATATATGTTCACACATAACTTTTAATGAATTGTCAAAATGATCGCAATGAACATTAAAATCTTAAAGTTAAGCCACAAAATTATATATAAAAAAAAACTGACCTCAAATTATCCTTAAAACACAAGTAAGAAAAAGACTAGAGAAGAGTGTAGCAAAATACTAGTAATGTGGGTGGGCTTTATGGGTAACTGAACATGCACTATTTTCATATTCAGAATAAAAAATAAAATGAGATAATATATGTAAAATACATAGGTAACACCAGCACCATATGAGTTTTTATTTTGCACACCCATACAACACAAACATAGTGATTTCTAAAAGAAGTTAAGATAATCACAGCTAACAGATACATGGTTCTATAGTTTTTAAAATGCTTTCAAATATGTTATTCATCATTTTGTCATTACAATGATGTGCCAGGTATATGAGATAAAGTTGGCTTTATACAATAAAAACCCTTTACAATAATTATCTTTACTAAATAAATTATTTTAAAAAATTTTCAAACACCCATGTGTAAGATACAATAAAATATCAATTTATGTTTAAATAAATTAAAAATTTAAGAAATCTTCAACGTCCAATGCATAGAGTTTAGGGCAAAACAATGATCCCCATACTTCTACCAGAGTTTATAAAACAAACAAACAAACCAAAAGTAAAATTTTAAAAAAAGCAAAAATCATGTATATTGCCCATCTATACAACATACCCCAAAACAGTTTTAAATTCATATTATAATGAAGTAGCAGTAAGTAGATCTTCTATTTCAGCATTTAAGTCATAAGCATTACATAAGTTCTTAAAATACATCAACTTAGTCACGTTTAAAACTCTCTTACAAAAAAAAAAATAAAATAAATAAAACTCTTACCTCCAGTTAGACATAAGCTTATGATGATGACTAAAATGAAACTCAGGAAAATAGAGGCAAGGACCATCCAGAGTTTGCACTTTCCAATCAACTTCTTATTACAGGAGCTCCAAGGGCTTTCCTTGTCAGCCTGGAAAGCAGAGGAAGACTGTGATGCAGTCATCTGGTTTCAAGAAGCAGTTTTTAATGCTTACTATGGGCCAGTGACACAGAAATGAAGGCAGCAGGATCCTGATCTCAAGGAACTCCACTCTACTGAGTCAAGTTCACAAAAGGACAGATGGAACCTCATAAAGAGGTTAAGAAGAACATACTCTGGGGACTCTGAGCTGGGAAGAACAGGCAAGATTTTGAAAGACGGACAGAGAAAGGCATTCCAAACCCAGAAAAAATCATCCTCAGCATTGATTCATAATGAAATTGGCTAAAAGATTCATCTGATGGAAATGCAGGTTTCAGAGGCAAGTGATGACAGTCAAGATTGGAGAGAATGAAAGGTTGGAGCATCTCTGAAGAGGTCTTGAATGCTGCCAGACTGGTGTAGACTTAATTTGGTCTGTACTGGGAACCCACTGAAGACTTTTGGTACACAAAAGCTGAGTAGAAGATTAAGAGAAAAATAATGTATAGCTTAGACCAAGAAAAAGTTAAGAACCGTGCTCGCTTCGGCAGCACATATACTAAAATTGGAATGATACAGAGAAGATTAGCATGGCCCCTGCGCAAGGATGACACGCAAATTCGTGAAGCGTTCCATATTTTTAAGCCCTCCAGGCTCCTCTGGCCTTGGGATTTCCCAGGCAAGAATACTGGAGTGGGTCGCCATTTCCTTCTCCAGAGGATCTTCCCAACCCAGGGATTGAACCCTTGTCTCCTGCATTGGCAGGTGGATTCTTTACCACTGAGCCACAAGGGAAGCCCCAACTTGAAGTTAGGATAATAGAAATTACATAAAGTGAAAAGCAAAGAGAAAAGAGCGAATAAGTAACAGAGCAATGAAGAACGGCGGGACAATATTAAACAACACAGTACAAAGATAACTGGAATCCCAGAGGGAGAATAAAAAACTGAGGGGAGATAAAATATTTGAAGAAATACTGGATAAAGCATATCCTAAAACTACAGACAGGCACAAAACTACATACTTAAGAAACTTATGAGTCCAAACTTAGGGAAAACAAACAAACTGTATATAGACAAATATTCAAATTGCTAAAATCCAAACACACAAAATATCTTGAAGGCAGCTGGAGGAAACTCATTTTACCTCTTTTGGATTTAATGGTTTTGCCCCTAGATTCATATGTTGATATCCTAAACCACCTTACCCACCACCCAAGTGTGGCTGTATTTGGACATGGGCCTGGTAAAGAAATAATAGACAGTGAAGTTCTAAGGGTAGGACTAGTGTCCTTATGGGGCTTTCCAGGTGGCACTAGTGGTAAAGAAGCTGCCAGTCCAGGAGACATAAGAGATGCTGTTTCAGTTCCTGGGTGGAGAAGATCCCCTGGAGGAAGGCATGATAACTCACTCCAGTGTTCCTCCTGGAGAATCCCATGGGCAGAACAGCCTGGCGGCTTACAGTCCATAGGGTCACAAAGAGTCGGACACAAATGAAGTGACTTAGCACACACACACAGCACGCAGTGTCCCTATAAGAAAAGGACATGGGACGGTACACCGAGAAGGTGGCCTTCTACTGCCACGAAGAGAGTTCTCACCAAAAACCAAGCACGCTGGCACCCTGATCTTGGACGTCCAGTCTCCTGGACTGTGGGAAAATTAATTTCTGTTGTTTAAGCCACCTGCCCTGGGGTGTTCTGTCATGGCAGCCTGAGGAGACTAACATCTACAAAGGAACAAAGATAAGTCCACGTCGAAGCAGCAGTCGGGAGAGGTTAGCCGGGTTGGGGTTGTACCTGGCTGACTTCACCGGCCCCGCATGCGCTCTCCCTGGCCCACAGCCGCCCCGCGTCGGCCTGGGGAGCTCCAGCTTATGCATATGCCCGGCCTTCTCCTCCCTCAGCAGTGGAGCTAACCCTTGAAAGGTTCCATTCCTCTTCTCCTGTGTCCTACATGAAAACCATGGGAAACAATAGACCGTGATGGATAAAACACGTGGATCTGGATTGGATCCCAATCCTAGTTACACCACTTAAAGGCAGGGTGCCTATCAGCGAACTACTTACCGAAACTCACTGGCCCCAAGGTTCACAACTGAAAAACACATTAAGTAATAAACCTGGCCCACAGGACTGCTGTAAAAACGAGAGATCACGCCGACGAAGCGCTTGCTAAACAAGGGCAGAGCGGAGGTCGCGCTTCGGCAGCCCCGAGCGCCGGGAGCCAGGGGTTACCCTGGGTGCTCACCTTCCCGCCAAGCAGCAGGAGGCACCTCCTGGACTGATGCCTTGTCAACTGCCTCTCCAGCGGTGACTTTAGCGGGAGCCATCGGGAAGGAAAACTGTCCACGTAAGGACAATTCAGTTCTTCTTACTGAGTGGGTCCCAACCCTCAGGGTCTCCCGAAGGGGAATTTCAACAACACACACCTAGGCCCAGATTACAGGGGAAACGGGCAGCCCTGCTTTGAAAATGTAACCTCCCAACGTGCATCAGCTGCTTTGCCAGAGGCGGGTGGGGGGCCCTGGCCTGGAGCCTCCCGCTGACAGGAAACCAGGTAAAATCTCTCCCTTTTGTGGAGGCCTCCCTACCAGGCCACCCTCAGAGAGCAGCCCAGTGCACAAGCCGTCCACACAGCTCAACTGCTGTGGCTAGCACCTGCCTCGCCTGCCTTCAGGTCCAAACATAAACAGGTACTGGCCTTATCTTCCTAGGCAAAGTGAAACCACCCAGACTGAGCAGCGGCTCTTAAAATTCCCCCGTTCTTATACCCCACACCTCATACAGGTAAGAGGCACTTAATAAATGTGTGTTCCTGAGTTACCAAGGGTGCCCCAAATTTTGAAAATGTACTTTGAAAAGTTCTAGAGTAGAGGTCACACTTTGGAGCCCCTGCGTGCACCGGCCCTTCCGGTGGTGTGTGGTGGGGGGACGGCATAAAGGCCCCAGCAGCATCTAGACAGAGGCAAACTCTCTTGAGGTGAGTGTGTCTGGAGTCCGAGCATAATCACCTCTCATCCTCACCTGAAGCCTGAGCACTGCTCCAAGGTGACCAAGGCTAGGGGCTCAACAAGGCACGCAGCAAAGAGGAGCCCAATACAAGAAGCCTTGAACTTCTCAGGGGATAGAAACATACCTTCCTGTTAACAGAGGTCCTGAGACACATTTTCAGTTCTCAAGAGACAGCAGGAACCACAAGTCAATTCAGTTCAGTTCAGTCGCTCAGTCGTGTCCGACTCTTTGCGACCCCATGGACTGTCGCACACCAGGCTTCCCTGTCCATCACCAACTCCTGGAGCTTACTCAAACTCATGTCCATCGAGTCGGTGATACCATCAGAACAACTTATCCTCTGTTGTCCCCTTCTCCTCCCACCTTCAATATTTCCCAGTATCAGGGGCTTTTCAAGTGAGTCAATTCTTCACATCAGGTGGCCAAATTATTGGAGTTTCAGCTTCAGCATCAGTCCTTCCAATGAGCATTCAGGACTGACTTCCTTTAGGATTGGATCCCCTTGCAGTCCAAGGGACTCTCAAGAGTCTTCTCCAACACCACAGTTCAAAAGCATCAATTCTTCTGTGCTCAGCTTTCTTTTTAGTCCAACTCTCACATCCATACATGATTACTGGAAAAACCATAGCTTTGACTAGACTGACCTTTTTTGGCAAAGTAATGTCTCTGCTTTTTAATATGCTTTCTAGGTTGGTCATAGCTTTTCTTCCAAGGAGCAAGTGTCTTTCAATTTCATAGCTGCAGTCATCATCTGCAGTGATTTTGGAGCCTGAAAAAATAAAGTCTTTCACTGTTTCCACTGTTTCCCCATCTTTTTGCCAGGAAGTGATGGACCAGATGCTGTGATCTTATTTTCTGAATGTTGAGTTTTTAGCCAACTTTTTCACTCTCCTCTTTCCTTTTCATCAAAAGGCTCTTTAGTTCTTCTTTGCTTTCTGCCATAAGGGGGGTGTCATCTGCATATCTGAGGTTATTGATATTTCTCCTGGAAATCTTGATTCCAGCTTGTGCTTCNCTTAATATCTTCCACTTCTGTTAGGCCCATACAGTTTCTGTCCTTTATTGTGCCCATATTTGCATGAAATATTCCCTTGGTATCTCTAATTTTCTTGAAGAGATCTCTAGTCTTTCCCATTCTATTGTTTTCCTCTATTTCTTTGCATTGATCACTGAGGAAGGCTTTCTTATCTCTCCTTGCTATTCTTTGGAACTCTGCAGTCAAATGGGTAAATCTTTCCTTTTCTCCTTTGCCTTTTGCTTCTCTTCTTTTCACAGCTATTTATAAGGCCTCCTCAGACAACCATTTTGCCTTTTTGCATTTCTTCTTCTTGGGGATGGTCTTGATGACTGTCTCTTGTACAATGTCATGAACCTCCATCCATAGTTCTTCAGGCACTTTATCAGATCTAATCCTTTAAATCTATTTGGCACTTCCACTGTATAATTGTAAGGGATTTGATTTAGGTCATACCTGAATGGTCTGGTGGTTTCCCCTACTTTCTTCAATTTAAGTCTGAATGCGGCAATAAGGAGTTCATGATCTGAGCCACAGTCAGCTCCCGGTCTTGTTTCTGCTGACCATATAGAGCTTCTCACTCTTTGGCTGCAAAGAATATAAGCAATCTGAATTCAGTATTAACTATCTGGTGATGTCCATGTGTAGTCTTCTCTTGTGTTGTTGGAAGAGGGTGTTTGCTGTGACCAGTGCGTTCTCTTGGCAAAACTCTGTTAGCCTTTGACCTACTTCCTTTTGTACTCCAAGGCCAAATTTGCCTATTACTCCGGGTATCTCTTGACTTCCTACTTTTGCATTCTAGCCCCCTAAGAGGACATCTTTTTTGGATGTTAGTTCTAGAAGGTCTTGTAGGTCTTCATACAATCATTCAACTTCAGCTTCTTCAGCATTACCGGCCAGGGCAAAGACTTGGATTACTGTGATATTGAATAGTTTGCCTTGGAAACGAGCAGAGATCATTCTGTCGTTTTTGAGATTGCATCTAAGTACCGCATTTCGGACTCCTCTGTTGACTATGATGGCTACTCCATTTCTTCTAATGGATTCCTCCCCACAGTAGTAGATACAATGGTCATGTGAGTTAAATTCACCCATTCCAGTCCATTTTAGTCCACTGATTCCTAAAATGTCCATGTTCACTCTTGCCATCTCCTGTTTGACCCCTTCCAACTTGCCTTGATTCAGGGACCTAACATTCCAGGTTCCTGTGCAATATTGCTCTTCGCAGCATCGGACTTGACTTCCATCACCAGTCCCATCCACAGCTGGGTGTTGTTTTTACTTTGGCTCCGTCTCTTCATTCCTTCTGGAGTTATTTCTCCACTGATTTCCTGGAGCATATTGGGCACCTTCCGACCTGGGGAGTTCCTCTTTCAGTGTCCTATCTTTTTGCCTTTTCATGCTGTTCATGGGGTTCTCAAGGCAAGAATACTGAAGTGGTTTGCCATTCCCCTCTCCAGCAGACCACGTTTTGTCAGAACTCTCCACCATGACCATCTTGGATGGCCCTACACGAAATGGCCTGGAGTCTCAAATGAGCCAGAGAATGAGGGTCATGTACCTCTCTGGTCTTTTGGGCCTTCATATGTGCTGTCCCCTAGAGACCACAACCAGGACCCTAGTGGTTTGAGGAGACCAATATTGTGATTTCCTGGGTGAACTCGGCTCAGAATACACAGCCCTCCTCTGTAGGAAATGCCTCTTCCAGTCCAGCCCGTCACAGCCATCCTACATGCAGCCCCCTTCACCTGCCTGCTGTCGGCTCCAAGGCAGAGACCACTATCCTTTGAATGACTCATCTTCACATCCTTTAAGTCATACTAAAACGGTCAGTTAGCCACGCACAACACAACAACTGAGTATAGGGCTTCTCAGCTGTGTCTACATTAGAGTCAACCCAAGAATTCTTTTTAGAAGTGCCCCCAGGACTCCGCTGGACCGTGGGGGTGCAGAGCCTCTGCCACAGAAGATGTGTGCGGCTCGCGCACACTGGGTCACGAAAACCTGCTGCCTCCTTCACTGCCTTCTTCAGTCTCTCCTGCCCAAACTCTAGGTCATGAGGAGAGGCCACAGGAAGTTTTTTCTCCAGAGTGACTTTAAAAGATTTTTACACACTGCATGTTACATTCTATGATTGAAGTATACAGCCCAAGAATTTTTGTGGTTTTCGTTTGCCTATTCCCCCAGATTTTCACATCCTTCTTCAGATAAGGTTCAAATACATGACATAAGGTCCTACAACAATAGCAGGACTACATAGCTCTTGGATACAAAAGGCTTTTCTCCCCTTTGGCTCAAAGAGGAGCAGACATTGTATGTGTGCACGCTCAGTCTTTTCAGGCAGGTCCAGCTCTGCGATGCTGTGGACTGCAGCCCACCAGGCTCCTCCGTCCACGGGATTCTCCAGGCAGAAATCCTGGAATGAGTTGCCAATTCCTCCTCCAGGGGATATTCCCAACCCAAGAATCACACCCATGTCTCCTGCAGCTCCTGCATTGCAGGCAGATTCTTTACCACTGAGCCACCAGGAAAGCCCAGATATTATATAGATGAGTGGAAATTTTCTTAGCACACAGTAAAATCTATACTTTAATCTTCATTGTGGGACTTAATCTACTTGTTGACTGAAGCACAAAAGAGTCAGTTGATCCTAGTCCTAAATTCTAAACAACACGTGGCAGTGTGCTAATTTTTATCCAACTTATTCAAATCTACCTTGCCCGCCTCAAAGCTCTCCATGTACTGAATTATAGTTATTATTATTATGAGGCTACTATCCTTAAAAATGTCTCTGGGACCTCTGTTTAAAAACTGAGGTCAGAGTCCATATAATAAACCATGAAAGAAAACTAGTCTTGGGACTTCCTTGGTGGTTCAGTGGCTAAGATTCCATGCTTTAAACACAGGCAGCCTGGATTCCATCCCTGGTCAGGAAACCAAATCCCACAGGCTGCAACTGAAGATCTCATATGCTGCAACGAAGATAAAAAATCCCACATGTCTCAACTAAGACTAGGCACAGGCAACTAAATAATTGATTAAAAAAAAAGAAAAAAAGCTAGTCTGGCTCAATCACCCCTGACAGCTTTTCCAGTTTTGACCCAGCTTCGCTACCCTGTTCACACTGACAGTAGGCAGGCAAAGTGTAGTTCAAAGACTTACAATTTTTCCTTCAGTTTCCAAACCCAAATAAGAAAGGGAAAGAACTTCCCATGACCCTTGAATACTCTCTGATATCCCTTCCAAGTAGGAAGATACTCCATGATAAGGGATGTCTTCTTCCCAATGATGCCCAAACTGTTCCCTGCTCCTCACCCATCTACCCATCTGCCTGTAACTCCCTCATCAGTCCCGATACACCACTCAACTCCTCGTATTTCACCTATGTTCCATAACTTACAGAATCAGTAATAGTATATAACTTAGGCAATTATACACAAATGAATATAAATTATGTAATTATGCTTATATAGTCAAATTAGATGTACATATTAATAGACACATACACACATATGTGCTTCCCTGGCGGCTCAGACAGTAAAGAATCTCCCTGCAACGCAGGAGACCCAGGTTCCATCCCTGGGTCAGGAAGATCCCCTGGAGAAGAGAATGGCTACTCATTCCAATATTCTAGCCTGGAGAATCCCATGGACAGAGGAGCCTGGTAGGCTACAGTCCATGGGGTCGCAAAAAGTCAGACAGGACTGAGAGACTAACATTTTCACTTTTCATATATATTCACACATATAAAATAAATCAACAAAAGCAGCATAAGTTTGAATCCTAAAAAGCCTGAGTTCAATCTCAGAGCCAACGAACTTTAGTATTTTGGTAACTCCTCTGGGACTCAAGTTCTTCACTCTTTGTCAAATCAGAAGGAAGTCAGTTGTGCTAATTAAATGCATTTAGGTAGCAGAAGTATTTGACACAGGATAGGTACAAAACATAAGGTTAATAAAAACACATGGTCTTATGCTACATTTCAAAACTGGAAATCTTAACATACAGTATAAAGAGACCTACACACCAAATTCTTAAGAGTCTGTATCTCATGTTTATGCTACACTTGTTGACTTTTCAATTTAAAATACACTTCCACTGATGCTGTGGAACCAAAGAGAATGATCAACACATTAGATGAGGATTTTTTTCTTTTCTAAAGTTTTTCCTCTTCAATCATTTCTAGAATGGTCTCCAAATGCTGATGTAACCCTCATCTTCACACTATTCTGTTCCTCACACAGCTTTCCTATTCAGTGACCTACAAAGCTAGTTCAGAAGTCTCAAATATCTGTATAGACCTGGCTAACAAGGAAGTAATTAAAACATGAAAGAGCAATCTCTACCAGGAAGGTACTAAACGATAATAAAATACTGACACCCTATATATGTCCAGCTCCTCCACTATCTTCAATGTGCATTCCCAGGCTCACAGAGAAGCCTGGTTGGCCACATTACATTACTGTCAGTTGACAGCTGGGAAAAGAAAATATAGACCTTAGTTCCTTGCCTCGGGACACACCTTTTAGTAAGGAAGGTATCACCAGAACTCAGATGTCTGGATTCAGTCCCAAACCATGGAGTCCCTGGGGTTCCTGGGTCTACCCAACATGAGGCAAGTACTCCCAATTCCCACTCCCTGACACTACCGTGGAGGACCCATACAAGTCCACCCAAGCAAGTCCACCATTACAACCACATACACAGAGATCAAATCATCTTTATTCAACATTCATTGCCCTATGGCATTCATCTTTCATTCAAATATAAAGTACCAAATTACTCTCCAGGGTACCTAAAAAAGCAGAATTTACATTATTTCCAGGCATCAAGAAGAAGGCAAAAGCAATGCTTTCAACTTCTGAATTTCCTGTTTACCCCTCAAATTAACAGCTGAACAGTCAAAGGAATAGGAGTGGAGGAGAGGGACCCAGAAAGGTCAGGCTGGAAGCATACGTATATACATGGGGATGTCCATATACCTAGTAAACATCAAACCAGTTTGAAGGGTTAATCAGAAGGTAGAATTCAAAGTCTCTGCTGTTTTACAAGCATTTGATGAGAATGAATAAGTTTCCTGTCACTGTTAGGGCTGAATCCGAAAAGAGTTCTGTCTAAACATCACCAGCGACTTTCTCAGAAACTGAAATGAGGCCCAAGCAAATGATCATAGTCTAGCTCTTTGAGACACGAACCTGGAAACTCAGTTAAGCAGCGCAAGTTCACTCCCACCCCCACCCCAGTCCTCGGTGCTAAGTGCTAAGTCGCTTCGGCAGTGTCGGGCTCTTCGCGACGCCTCGGACTGCAGCCGGCCAGGCTCCTCTGTCCGTAGGATTCTCCAGACAAGAATACTGGAGTGTGCTGCCATTTCCTTCTCTTGCCCTCTTCTCCCTTCTCCCCTACATCTCTTTCTGCGAAACCAATGGCCAGACTGGGCGAAGACATAAAGTGTGGACCCAGGGGATGGTTAGTCAAGATGGATGATAGTGGGCAGTGGGTGAAGGCTGGGGGTGGGGGCGCGGTAGGGGAACAAGTGGCAAGGCAGTATAGAAAAGGAAGGCTAAGAGATTCTCAAGAAGAGAAGACTCCAGTTATCGTTCTAATTCGTTGCACCGGGCGTTGGCGGGGGCGGGGGGTGATTTTTGAAAGTTAAAAAATTTTTCAAAACCACCTCTATCTCTGGTGATTCCCTCTCCGAAGAGAAGAGCGCAGACTTCCCGGATAAGACTCTTTAATTTCCCTGAGTCGGAGTGATCCGAGGGCAGGCTCAGGCTGGAGGGCATTTCTGTGTCTGCTCCATTCAGAATGTTCCAGAGCGTACCACTGGCGCTGGGGGTCGGCTGCGCCCCCGGAGCTGCCTGGAAACCTGAAACCGCGCTGCCACGCCCGGGTCCCGGCCTGCAGCCTGGCTCAGAGCCAGGATAACAGCGGCCAGGGCCAAGGAGACCTTACCTGGACTGCGCAGGGCTCCTCGGCTAAAGAAAGGATGCCCTGGACGGCTCCGTTGAGAGGCGTCTGCTCGTCTGGCTGCCCCTGGATCACCGAGAGCTCCAGCTCATCTCCTGGAGATGGGGGACTGGCCCCCTCCATGAACCGGCAGAGGGGACTAGACAGCCCGCCAGGAAGCAGGACGCACACACCCGCGGGTGCAGAGTCCAAAGTGGCCTAGCGAGCTCCTCACTCCACCCCCGGGCGGGGAGGCCTCGGGTGGTAGGCGGGGCCCCGCCCGGCGGGGCGGGCAGGCCTCTGGCTTTAGCGCGGGGGAAGCGCGGCTCGCCCCCTCCAGGCGCCGCAGGCCTTCCCAGCTGTGAGCTCAGGAGCAAGGGCGGAAGAAGGCTGTTTTTCTGGTTTGTTCAGGGCGCCGCCTGCTCTGCCGTTTTCAATTCGCACAATTCAATACAAAGAAGAAGCTGAGTGGGTGGCCTGATTGGGCTTTGGGGTTTGACATGGATGGACATTCCATCCTCCCAGGGAGCTGTCTGTTGCCGGGGCTTGCTCTAGCTTTCACTGCCTAGCAAAATTTCACTCATTTAATCCCATCACTTAATGGCAAATAGATCGGGAAACAATGAAAACAGTAAGACTATTTTCTTGGGCTCCAAAAGCACTGTGGACGGTGATTGCAGCCTTGAAGTCAAGAAACTTGCTCCTTGGAAGAAAAGCTATGATAAACCTAGACCACATATGAAAACAGACATTACTTTGCAGACAAAAGTCCGTGTAGTCAAAGCTCTGGTTTTTCCTGTAGTCATGTATGAATATGAGAGTTGACCATAAAGAAGGCTGAGCACCGAAGAACTGACGCTTTCAAACTGAAGTTTGGAGAAGACTGTTAAGAATCCCTTGGACCGCAAGAAGATCAAACCAGTCAATCCTAAAGGAAATCAACCCTGAATATTCATTGGAAGGACTGATGCTGAAGCTGAAGCTCCAGTACTTTGGGCACCTGATGATAAAAGCCGACCCATTGGGAAAGACCCTGATGCTGGGACAGATAGAAAGCAGGAGAAGGGGACGACAGAGGACAAGGTTGTTGTATGGCATCACCGACTCGATGGACGTGAGTTTGAGCAAGATCTGGGAGATGGTGAAGGACAGGGAAGCCTGGCGTGCTGCAGTCCCTGGGGCCACGAAGAGTCGGACACGACTGAGCGACAGAGCAACAACCACAGTGAACATATAACTGTCTCCTGAGCGCCAGCCATTGCGCAAGGCACTGAGCGAATGGCGATGACTAATGCGCACAAACCCACTCCTCCTTCTTGAGTCCCGAGGCAGACAAAGACACATTGATGAGTAGAGGGGGGGGACTGCAGGCTCCGGAACCAGGCCGCCAGACTAATCCCCCCTCAGTGCGAGAGGGGTTCCACACTTCGAGACCTTGGGCTTGAGCTCTCTGTGCTGAACTTCCTCATCTGGAAAGTTGACCTAATGTTAATACTCACCTAATGGAGTTGGTGCCAGGACTAAGAGTTGATGTCACCAAAGCAGTTAGATATACATAGCAAAATTCATATAAACCTTGGCGATTATTAAATGCCTTTGAGAAGAGGAGTCACAGGTACCCCACCGTCACTCCCACCACCACCACACACACACGCACACACACACACGCACACACACACGCACAATCTGAGGGAAAAATTACGCACCAGCCCACAATCCACAATCCACGGTTCAGAGCTTCTGGTCTTATGAGCCTGAAATTGCTAAGCAAGGTGTGTGCTGAGAGCCAGCTTGCTTCCCTACTTCTCATCCCTGTCTCCAGCAAACACACATAATGAGATAAGTTTGTGTTGTAGACGGGTCGCATAAAAATCAGCTCCTTTTCAGAAGACACTGACTTGTGTCCAAAAGTCCAGCATCCTTGATGCCTGCTCTTCAGACACTGCCTAGACATCAGGTCTGTTTCTTGCCTGCTACCGGCTCATCTGGACTTGGGACTCCATCAGCCTGCCAGATGGGATCCAGTACCCGTTCAGCTGCTGGCTTCTGCTTTTTCTACCCTGAAAGGTGGATCTTGTAGGACTCAGTCTGCATTCTCAGCCAGAATTCTTTAAGAGGGTTTTTAATGAAGGAGCAAGGGTTAAGGGAACCAAGAAGGGGTGCTAAGGCACCCAAGGACTAGCAACACCAGAAAGCCCTCCATACCCTAAGGCCTAAAAGGGAGTGAAAGTGAAAAGTCGCTCAGTCGTGTCTGACTCTTCGCGACCCCATGAACTGTAGCCCACCAGGCTCCTCCATCCATGGGATTTTCCAGGCAAGAATACTGGAGTGGGGTGCCATCGCCTTCTCCAGTTTCTCCATGAGCAGATGTCCAAAACTCTCCTTCACTGCTCCAGAGAATCAAAAGCTACTGCTTCCTGTCACATGCACAGTCTACAACAGATTTCTCAATGCCTTCTGAGTACAGTGAAGTGAGGCCTATATATTCTCTCAGCTAGCTTCTAATGCATCTCCGGAATTTCATAAGCCTAGCCCTTGTACACTGTTGACATCCCGATGGCAGCATAGATTGTGAAGAAGAGTTAGGATCAAATTTAAACCCTCGCTATCTGTGTGTTCTTGGGCAAGTTGTTTAAAGTCTATGAGCTTCTCTCCTCCTTATAAAATGATTCCTACCGAGTAGAATTAGGAGGATTAAATGAGGCAGTTAAAGAAGGAATTTATCCCTGTGCCTGACAGAAGCAGAATCTCAGTAAATATTCCCAGTGTTCCTTTCTTTTCCATGACTGTGAGTATCTCTGTAACTAATATCTGCCCACCCCAATTTCTTTGCCCCTACAAATAACCTTTGAATACTGAATATATTTTCTTTTGATGTTGACTTATGTTCCTGTCCCATCATGTTTTCTGGATTGCTGACACTTGCTGACACCTCACAATATTACTCACAATGAACTACTTAAATTCTTACATGTAACTTATTCTGATTTCTGATAACTGCAAATTTCTTCATCTCCAGACAGCTGACCTAGAATGTATATGGATGTTGCAATTTCTATTTGAGGACTTTTTTCACTCTGGCAGTTTGACTCTAAGGATTCAGAAAGAGTTAGAAAGAAGTGTTTCACCCTGGAGGTAGAACCAAATTTAGATTAAATAATTATTGTTGAAGGTTTAGGATTTGTGAATGAGGAACCAAATTCTATCTAGGTCTGTTTTTGCATTTTCTTCAAAACTGACTTCTATAAGGGTGGCTTTTTAAAGGATATTGTTCTTTCATAAATACCTCTTTAAATGTGATTTCAAAAAGTGTACTGTTCTTGCACAAATAGTTCTTTTTAATATAACCTAAAAATTATTATTGACTCAATTACTTTAGTTCATTCAAGTTGTCAAATGTAAATAACGTTAAAAAATGAAAACATCCTTCTTGCCAAGACTTGCTGACCAGTATAAAATGTTCAGTTTTGCTTTTCTCATCTTAATACTTGTTCTTCTTTCTTCATCTTCTGTAAGAGCAAATAATTTCCCAAGTGGTTATCAGATAAAACAAAAAGTAACACCATTAAAGGGACATCAGTAAAGCATCTCATTAGCTTCAAATAGATCTATGCCTTTTCAAAACACCACAATTTGTACCCATATGTTGTCAGATGGCAAGCAGTACTATGCTGAACATCAGCAATTGGGTCAGCCACGCAGAATAATCAAGCAGAACACAACTGAGAAATAGTTGGTTGGCTTGTAGTGTTTCATTTTTCAGTTATCGAGGCATTGTGAAGGAGGCCAGGAGTCCCTACAAATTCTCCCCAGTAGTCTGGCACATGGAAATGTTCCAGTCTTTGTTTTTGGAGACCATTCCCCACTGCTAAATAAACCAAACTTAGAATTTGCCTCTACTCACACTTTTGCAAGAATGAAGTAAATATCTCCACACTGTTCAGGTTATAAAGGCATCTTGGCATGAAATAGCCAAGTAAGTTAGGCTGGTGTTTCTCAACCTTTCCTCCATCTCTGCACTGATGAGGAACATGGTACACTCACATTAGCACCAACTAGTGCTTAGGATGGTACCAAGTATGTGTGGTTTGAAAACTCCCTCTGATGAATCTAACAGATCATGCCAGCCATTCTTCATTTCCTAACTGAGATCATAAACCTATATAAAGCTGTGAAATAGTCTGTTGAGCAACAAATTTCCTTAGAAATGGTCACAAATAAAAAGTACAATTCACCATGTACCTAGGTCACAGCATTACGAGGCAAGACAAACCTTGGTTTTATGAACTGTCAGCCTAATTTGCTCTTCTCTGCAATGGATTCAGTAGCTAGGTCCCCATTTGTGGATTAAGTGGTGACTTGGCCCTCTGAATTGCACTATGCCACAGCCAGATAATGAATCCAAAAAGATCTATTCAGAGGAGTATCATTAAAATGTTTTATCCTTTAGCTGAAGGAAATAGCCTTTTTGTAAATCAAAATATGTTTTGCAAACTGGAAAATATTCACTATCTCAGAGAAATCATATTCAGAGTTCAATCTTACTATCTGATCCCAGTTATGACACCTTTTGCTCTCTATTCTTTTGCTGTTACATTAAGATTTTCTGACATCTTATGAAAATCAGTCCCACTGTTTTGAGCCCTACCAAAAAATAGCATTGCTATTACTTTTTTGACTTAGTCCCAAGGAAAAAATAATATCATTCTTCTTTCTGCTGTTTTTATCTATTTGGTGATATTGTTAAGTCTGGCCTCTTTTAATGAAAAGTTTATTCTGAGATTAAGTGTGAAACACAGTAAATCAGGACAAAATAAATCAATAACTGTGATGTACTGAGCATGTACTATAGATTTACAAATATGCTAGATATTATAAGGCTCTGAAAATAAAAGAAAATCTTGGCCATTTGAGTTTTATAAAAGGATCAGAAGTTAGATGATTTCTGAAAATTTTCCCTTTCAAAACAATCATTCAAAAACTCTTTTGTCTTTCCAAAGGATTAATCTCAAAAATATACAAGCAACTCCTGAAGCTCAATTCCAGAAAAATAAATGACCCAATCAAAAAATGGGCCAAAGAACTAAACAGACATTTCTCCAAAGAAGACATACAGATGGCTAACAAATACATGAAAAGATGCTCAACATCACTCATTATCAGAGAAATGCAAATCAAAACCACAATGAGGTACCATTACACGCCAGTCAGGATGGCTGCTATCCAAAAGTCTACAAGCAATAAATGCTGGAGAGGGTGTGGAGAAAAGGGAACCCTCTTACACTGTTGGTGGGAATGCAAATTAGTACAGCCACTATGGAAAACAGTGTGGAGATTTCTTAAAAAGCTGGAAATAGAACTGCCATATGACCCAGCAATCCCACTTCTGGGCATACACACCGAGGAAACCAGATCTGAAAGAGACACGTGCACCCCAATGTTCATCGCAGCACTGTTTATAATAGCCAGGACATGGAAGCAACCTAGATGCCCATCAGCAGACGAATGGATGAGGAAGCTGTGGTACATATACACCATGGAATATTACTCAGCCATTAAAAAGAATTCATTTGAATCAGTTCTAATGAGATGGATGAAACTGGAGCCCATTATACAGAGCGAAGTAAGCCAGAAAGATAAAGACCATTACAGTATACTAACACATATATATGGAATTTAGAAAGATGGTAACGATAACCCTATATGCAAAACAGAAAAAGAGACTCAGATGTATAGAACAGACTTGTGGACTCTGGGAGAAGGCGAGGGTGGGATGTTTCAAGAGAACAGCATCGAAACATGTATATTATCTAGGGTGAAACAGATCACCAGCCCAGGTTGGGTGCATGAGACAAGTGCTCGGGCCTGGTGCACTGGGAAGACCCAGAGGGATCGGGTGGAGAGGGAGGTGGGAGGGGGGATCGGGATGGGGAACACATGTAAATCCATGGCTGATTCATGTCAATGTATGGCAAAAACCACTACAATATTGTAAAGTAATTAGCCTCCAACTAATAAAATTAAATGAAAACAAACAAACTAAAACAAAAACTCTTTTGTCTTTCAATTGTTGGCCAGCCTTGCCACAATTTTTTTAAATCCCATGTAAATGTTTTCAATCCTCCTACCACAATGCTGAATTCTATCATTTTAATGAAGAGTACTAATTGTTAATTTTGTTAGCTGTTTGATGGTTTCTCTGTACACAATATTACCATGTTATTGCTGAAAAAATGTCCCCATGATATGGTTAGACCAAATATTGGAAAATAATGATATAGGTATTTCCTCTGTCAGTAACAGAGTCTGCCTTTATTTGCATTTGTGAAGGAGTCATTTTTTTGCATTCCATTAGAACACCAAAGATCAGGCATGGTTTTTTTTTTATGGAATTTATTTCAATAAATCATATTTACCTAGGTCTTTATAAATATCTGCCCTTGAATAAGAATATAAATTAAGGTGTGGATTCCTGAACATCTCACCCACATATTATTTTAGAGGCTTGGTTCATGACATTACTTTAGTTTTCTTCCATTCCTGAATCAAGGGCCTTTTGACCCTTAAGAATGAATACAGCTGTATCCTAGATGCAATTTTTCATGGAATAAAATACATATTAATCTTTCTATCTTTCAATAAACACCAAATGTATGCAATCTGAAATTTCCAGAAGAAAAAAATTATCTCATTTTATTGAAAATTACTGCATTCCTTTTAAAAGAATCTATCACATAAAATACAGTCAAAAATCAAACTTGCACAATTACAAAAGAGAAGGGATGTATTTATGAATCCAGGGAACAAAGTTTGACACCCTTGTGTAAACACCAGGAAAGTTTGGTCTTCCACATCCATGACCCCAGCTAACAATGCCAGTCAAAATCCATTTTCCATCACTCTTTCTTCGACAGGATAAAGGTCCACCTGAATCTCCCTACAGAAAAAGATAACATAAGTAAAAAGCACTTTTGTTCCATGGTTGTCAATTTTGTTATTAAAGTGCCTAATGAATTGTGTTCAAACTCCCAGTCTGACAGGGTTCTTAGCTAATTCCTATGCAGTTTGGCGAAGTATCAAGAAATAATGTGAAACTTCTAATGTTGTTTTGAATTACTTTTCCTGTAATCAAAAAGGTGCATTCATCATAAGAAACTTGATTCTTTAGGCCAGGAGTAACATTTGAAGATTCTTGCAAAGGAATCAACATTCATATACCTACAAACAAATAGCAAACTTCGATAATAGAAACAGTTATAGTAGTAACAGTAATAATAATAGCTGACATTTATTTAGTGCTGGGATGTGCTAAGCACTATTTTGGGTCATTGAATCCTCATAATAACCTTTGCCCCTTCATGGATCACAGCCTTGTCATGGTGAAGGGGCTTGCATAACTCAATGAAGCTATGAGCCGTGCTGTGCAGAGCCACCCAAGACGGCCAGGTCACAGTGGAGAGTTCTGACAAAACATGGTCCACTGGGGGAGGGAATGGCAGACCACTCCAATATTCCTGCCATGAAAACCCCATAAACAGTCTGAAAACATGGAAAGATATGACACAAGATGAGCCCCCCAGGTCGGAAGGTGTTCAATATACTACAAGGGAGGTGTCAAGAAGACTTGCCCACGACTGAGTGACTTTCACTTTCGTTTAGTGGTAGTATGTGCTAAACACTGTTTTGGGTCATTTAATCTTCACAATAACCTCTTGAGGCATGGTTATCTTGGAGGACTGGTTGACTTCTACCTCTATGCCATGCAACTTCAGTGTTGGCTCATGGCCGTGAGGAAAAAAGGAAAGGAGATCCTCTGTAGTTGGCAGAGTCCAATGACACAGCCCCAAGGATCACTGGCTGATAGTTGTTACAGAGAAAGCACTCTCACTCGAGAGCCCTTTCTGGCATCTGAACTCCAAAAACAAAGGCTGAAATAATTCAATGTTCACATAGAATTTCTACAGTGTTCATTATTTAAAGTATAGTATCTGAACTTTTATTTTCGGCTAAAGGTGTTTGTGGGGGCTTAGTCATGTTTGACTCTTTGTGATCTCATGGACTGTAGTCCACTGACTCCTCTGTCCCTGGGGTTCTCCAGGCAAGAACACTGGAATGGGTAGCTATTCCCTTCTCCAGGGAATCTTCCTGACCCAGGGATCGAACTCAGGTCTACCTGCATTGCAAGCGGATTCTTTACCACCTGAGCCACCAAGGGAGCCCTAAAGCTGCCTACTCAGAGGCAGAGATAAAAAAGCATCCCAAACTGTCCCTGGACGTCACCCCCGCAATTCTAAACCTGACTAGGGGAATTCTAACTAGTAGAGAGACTGGAATCTTTTTATTTTAACTGTTGGCACTCCAACTCCATGAAGCCTCATTTAACCTCTAAACCCTGGTAGCTATGGAGAACAGAACTATATAACCAGCTACCTGCAGGGAGCACCCAAAATAGAGTAGCTTTAAGAGGTAAGAGCTCAAATTCCAACTCAACCAGCTGTGTGAACTTGAGTAACTTACCTGGGCTCCTGTGCCCCAGTTTCCTCTTCTATAAAATGTGGATGAAAGAACAACTTGAGTGAATTTGTGTAAAGATCCTAGCATAGTCCTTGCCACAAAATAGGAGTTCAGAAGATAGAAGTCATCTTTATAATAAGATGAGTTTCTGTAGCACAGTGTCTAAGGTTACGGAAAGATGTGGGAACAGCTCCTCTGCCCTCTGCCTGCACATGCGGTCAGTCGTGTCTGACTCTTAGCAACCCCAGGAACTGTAGCCCACCAGGCTCCTCTGTCCATGGGATTCTCCAGGCAACAATACTGGAGTGGGTTGCCATGCCGTCCTCAAAGGGATGTTCCTGACCCAGGGATCGAACCTGGGTCTCCTGCACTGGCTCATCCTCTAAAACATCTGCTCACTTTTTGGTAATCATATAGGTATCTGCATACATTGGAATCTGAGACTCATAGAAATATCCCCCCAAAGGTAACCTTCAACTTCACCACTGTCAGGAGGCCTCCACTCACCTTTCCCACTCCTCTTTTCTTTCCCCCAGCCTGTGTGTCAAAGGAGTAAGTGAATAAAATACTTGTTATTTTAGGAGGTACACAGCCACTGCTAGGGAAATAGGTAGCAATCCTAAAACACTGCGTCCATCTTGCTATGTTTTTTAGTTTCTGGTTATAAGACAATCATGGCAGAATAATAAATGCTGACCCCATTCTCTAATTTTTGGTGAAATATACATGGGAATTAGAAAATGAGTTTTACAGATTCAATTAGTATTTAATCACCTTTCCCTCATCTCAGACAATTGGATTATAATTAGTGTCTGAATTAAGGCAATCACCTGCCCGAGTTATTGCCAGTATGGTGTAGATTAAACATGAAAGCATTTATGGAAAGTACAACATGTTAGACAAAGAAAGCATAAGACGGCTTACTCTGCAAGCATCTTTCTTGCCTGACATGACACCTGCACAGAGCATCCTCGAAGTGATGATGCCATAGGTGGAAACACAGAGGGTTTGGTCAATGAGCTCTACCTCTGCTTGCTGCAAAACAGGGGAACCTTTATTGTCTGGAAAACACACAGAAGTAGAAATCAAGGCAATGATTACATTTACTTTATTAGACAATTTATTCATTTTCTCCTTTTACTCTATAACAATTGTTTTTAGGTAAATTCTATTATGATCCTCATTTTTTCAAATGAAGACATGGAGGCTTAGGAGGATAAAGGACTTATCTAATGGCACACAAATAGGAAAAATAGAGCAAGATTCAGACCCAAGATCTGACTCGACCATCTGAGCTATGGTCCTTCTCCACGTACCTCCTACCTTCAAGACTGTGGGTCAGTAGCAGCCGTTACCAACACTCCCTGGTCAAGAGGGCCCCTTAAGTGGGACGTGGTGACTGACATCTGAAAGCATCCTGGGAACCATAAAAACATAGCAGTCTGGAATCAGCCCTTTCACTTCCTTTTAAACCCATACGGCTAAGACAACTCACTGACGCACTCATGCTTGTAAAGAAAATGCCCATCGGCAGTGCCAGGCTGCCCAGGCCCTGGAAAGGTGTGGGAGCGCGGCGGTGTGCGGCAGCTGCCGTGGTGGCCACGTCCACCTCTGGGCTTGGGGAGCAGAGCAGCGTCATGCACAGGTTTGTACTTTACATGAATGTTAAAAATATTCTTTGTGTGTAGTAACTGTTTAATAATACAATCAGAAACATTAAAGTCAGCAGAATGATTTTTTTAAAAAAAGAAAAGAAAACGCCCCATGATAAAGTGGTTGAAGAACCTCTTTCCTCTTATGATATACAATGATGTAATGAAAGCCCTGAGCACAGTCCTGATGGTTTATAGGTGTTCGAGCAGTGATCTGCCTTCTCCCAGAAGGCCCAGACAGGTGGTGAAGTTCATGAGTTCAATAACTAAATGTGGGTAGTTAGCACTGGAGAAGCTGCCCATAATGAATCTTTAGAGAGTGTCAAAGCAAGGCCAAGATGCAGTTCAAGATTTAAAGATAATGTACCTGTTCTAAGCACTTAGAAATGACTATAAGGGAATCCAAGATAAAGACTAAGAGATCAAGGGAAAGCATCAGCTCTCACCTCTGGGGAGATGTTCATAAAGTTTTGGATTATTCTCTTTGCTGTGTATTTAGAATCCTAAGCCATTAAAAACCTTGGCAGGGCAGATGTAAAGACTTCCCTGCCATACAATCTGACCTTTGTGCATATGATAAAGTTGCCCCCTCTGGGCGGTGGAATTCTAAAATGGCATTCTCTCTTGCTGGACCATTCCTAGGCTGATGTGACCATCCCCCAGGCCTGAGTCTGCAGTCTGGGGAACTGAGGATAATCTGGGTTTCAGCCTTCACTCTCATCCACTTGGCCAGTTGCCCTCGTGAAGGACATACTTGCATAATCCTCCAGACTATTGTCTATGAGTTGACATAGTAAGTTGTGTATGAGCAACCTTCTCTTTTTTATGAAAATGACTCATTTTTTTTTTAATGAAAGGGAACGTAAAAATATGGAGGAAATGTTCTTCTATAGCAGAAAACATAGCAAACTCCTACGAGATTGAAAAGGGCCTGTCCTATCCTGTGCTGCCTTGCTCACAGACCTTCCCTTAAGAAGCGGTTCTCACTCCTCTGGGGGACACGGGGAGAGCATCATAACACCGGGATTTTAATGCTCTCCTCCAGCCTGTCAGGGCTGTGAGAGGCTCAGGTGCGATCATATACAAACACCCTCTCCATCAACCCCGAGGCGCCACGTCGGCGGGGAGGGGAGGGCACTCGCTGACACACACCTGCTTCGTGCCTGCGCCCCCAGCCGGTCACCCAGCACTTTTCTCCACTGCGCACTTTCTGGCCGGCAGGAGGGATGCATATTGGCTGAAGGAGCTGCTTCGGGGCCTCAGGCCAGGCGACACTGAGCTGCAGCAAGACAATGTCGTAGTCAAAGGTCTGGCTGTTGTAGTGCTCGTGGACCACGATTCTCCTCACCGGGGAGACGAACTTGGCGTTCCCCTGCACGGACATGCCAAGGTGCGCGGTCCACGGCGTGGGGTCAGACAGCCTGGGGCGAAAGGAAGGAAGCACGGAGTCAGAGGCGTGAAGAACCGTATGTGGTTTGGAGAGAGCCCTCCGCAGAGAGAGGGGCTGCGGGAAGGGAGGTCTGACGTTCACTCCCGATTGCAGTAGCTGACTGGGCCTCTGAGCCTCCCTTGTCTCCCTAGTAAAACCATGAAGTCAGGTCGAGTAGGGCTGGCAGATGAGAGCTGGGTTCCAGAACATTTCCTCAGTGAGTTCTCAGGACATGCTGGAAATTTTCTTGCCATCGGTATTTCAGGAACCACCCACAAGTTAAGATTGTTAGTGACTGGAATTTATTTGGTACCTTCTTCCTATTCATGCTGACAGTGGTATTTGATGGAGACAGACAGGGCCAATAACACAGTGATCTGGAGATCCTTTCACCAAATTCAAATGATACCAAGACAGATTAGAAATCAGTGTTCCAAGCAGCAATTTAAGGAGATTTCTTTTTGCAAACTACCAGAAGCCTTAAAGATTGCTGCTCTAACTGTTCAATCTTGACTATTCACAGGGCCCCGCTCGCTGTGAGCCCCCCAGTGGACTGGCATGAGGTCACGAGGGCTTTCTAATCTCCATCTGGGGCTTCTTATCCCCACCAGCACAGCAGCCTGCTCTGGTGGGGTGAAGAGAATGTGGACGCTTTGGAAGAAAAAGAAGGACTCATTCCAAAGTGCTTGGCCCCTAATCTCACGTGCGTACAGGGACCTAGGGGAGTATTGCGGGTAATATATCACATAAAAGACTAGTGATGGGACAGAAGCATAGCCATTTCGGTCATTAACATGCATCCTGTAATTTCCAGGAGAAACAAATACTCTAATTGTATAAATTCATTGAAGTACTTTTTAAAATTCTAGGTGAGAAATAATTGATATATTTTTGTACCTAGGATTCAACTGGTTCCAAATAAGGTCACATTTTAAGTGAAGTTGTTGTCCAAGCTTTCCTTTCTCCCTTAGAGGGGAGAATGTCTGGCCCACAGTAACCCCATTGGTAAGGACAGACAGAGCCCTCCTGACAATTACCCCGAAGGACTTTTTTGTGATCCTCCTCTGTGATATTGAGATTTATACTAAAAAATATACATTTGGTCATCCTTCCATTCCCGGCACAGAGCTCCTAAAGCTTGTAGAGTTTCCTAAATGATGAGAGGAACCAAAGTGTCTTTTGTTATGTTACTGAGGTTACTTTGGGACTGCAACTAAGGCTGAAGGGGCTAGAGGTTGAATCTGTGTCCAGTGACCAATGATTCAATGAATCGTGCCTGTGTCAGGGAGCCTCCATAAAAGCCCAGAAGGTTTGGAGAGCTTCCGGGTTGGTAGACACGTGAAGATTGGAAGTTAAACAGTCCATGCATGGAAAACTGCACACTTTCTCACACCTTGCCCTCTGTATGTCTTCCATCAGGCTGTTCCCAAATTGTATCTTGTTATAATAAACTGGCAAGCCAGCAAGTAAAATGTTTCTCTGAGTTCTGTGAGCTGCTGTAGCAAATTAGTAAAATCCAAGGAGGGGGTCCCTGGAACCTACACTCTATAGCCTGTCAGTCAAAAGTGCAGGTGACAACCTGGACATTCTACTGGTGTCTGAATTGGGCGGAGGGGAGTAGATTTGTTAGACTGAGCCCCTAAAGTGCGCAATCTGTCTATCTGGGCAGACAAATCAGAACTGAGCTGAATTACAGGACACCTAGCTGGTGTCAGACAATTGCTCTGGGGTGTGCGAACGCTCCCCACCACCGCACTGGAAACTGGGTACAGAGTCGTTGCCTTCACACCCTAAATAGGGGTCTCCATACTCCAGTCATCCCTCAGTGCTGTCCTCCACCATTCCTACACTCCACAGTCTTCACACGTTCCCATAGAATTCCTTCCCACCTGAAAGCGCTATCTTCTTTTCTCAGCCTAGTAAAAGCCTATTCATTCTTGATATACTTTTGTGACCTTCCCTTTAAGTTGGTAATAACTTAAAAAGAACATTCAGCATACAATTGGTGTCACAGAAACAAAACGAAATTAAGAACGACCAACTGAATTGATTGAATGGATCCAAATGCAAGCTTCTTCCCACAATGTCAGAGCAGCTATGTGGTCTGTGGTCACTTCAGAGTAAGAATTGAGATGCTCTACCTGCTTCCATGGAAACAGTGGGCGGCAGAGAGGAGCCACTCCCTGGAGATGACTGAGGTGCCACAGTAGGCAGATCCAAAGAAGTGGAGGCTGACTTGCCACGGCCAACCCCCCTCCTGGGTATCGGTGCCCCGGATGATGCGGTGGAGGGTGGGGGAACTGCTGCTGCAGCCTTTAGGAGAGGAGGGGTCCCATGAGTTAAAGGCAGACTTGGAAGAAAAACCAGGCATTCAGGCAAATTTTGAGCTGGGTTGGGAAGTAACTAACCAGGTAAGCAACTTGCAATCCCCTGCTTATCTAGAGAGGCAATAGGTGCGTCTGTCTGAAGCCAGCACCAACAAACCACTACCTCCTCCTGAAAGCAGGCCTTGCTGCGGAGTCTCTGTGCAGAGACATGAGGGGAGGAAGGGACCTATTAGGAATAGCCGCACCAATAAAAACAGCAGCTGTGGAGCTCGGGTTGTTAGGTAGAGAAGAAAGATTAGTCCCCAAAGCAACCGAATTGAGAGTGTCCTTGAAATTGTGTTGATTCAGGAGAGAATTTGTAAGTCCAAAACACAAGAAAAACTGGGTATCAAAGCAATTATTTTCCAGTGTAAATAGTACTGAGAAGGATATATAATTAACATGTTGGCACGTGGCCAATTAGAGGTCATGCAATTAATAATGACACATGGCAGATTACAGTTCTCGGGTCATAGCTAAAGAAAGAACCAGCTCTTGACATTGATCACAACATAAGGCATAATTGATAAAATCATCCACAGTATTCCAGTGCCTATTTCTTTTCTCATCGGTTTTTCTTTAAGAGCTTATGCCTTGATTAAGGTTATTAGAAAGTAGAAGTACTTCATGTAAACACCTAGTGCATGAATAATTACTATCAAGAAAGAAGGCAGAAAATAAAGAATAAGTTTTAATTATTTCTTACTCTTAAGAATTAAGAAAGAATTAAAAGAATTCACTCTAGAATTCTTAATTCTGAGAAACCATTTCAGATTCAGTTCACCAATATCTACTATTCTTGCCTGGCCTGTGGCAACTTCTACCAGGGGAATTATACCAAGAATGAAATGAAAATGAAAAAACAGGTCGACTGAGGGAGAAATACAAAAGATCAGAAGGAACGTGTTTCTACTCACTGCAGCCTTCTTCATCACTTCCATCTGGACAATCCACGTTGCCATCACATTTTGCATTTTGTTTCCTAATGCGAACATCATTGCCACACTTAAAAGTTCTGTTGTTGCATGGAATACCTAAAAATGAACAAAAGAAGAGACTGATTTGAGTGAGTAACACTGAGCTCTGCCCACCAAGGATGGCTTGGCCACAGGGTCAGTATTTGCAGAGGGAACTGGAGCAGTCCCACAGGCTCCTGTCCCTGCGTCTCAGCAGAGCCTCTGAAAGGCAGGCAGGTGCTAGCTCAGAATCGATCCAACAGCCTCCCCTGAGATGCCGAGCAGTCGGCCGTGTCAGCGGCTTAGTGGCCTCTTTGCCATTACTTTGTCTTGTTCTCCAAGAAAATCTTAAAGCAAAAATAATACTCAGTCCTTTTATACCATTAGAGGGGGAAATGGGCAGATTTTGTGAATATACAGCACACTTGTTCAAACCCTGGCTGTGTGTGTTTTTGTAGGGGCTAGATAGACTATACCCAATCACTGTATCTGGCACATCCCTCTATATCAGATCCACAGTATACTTTAGTCAAGAGCAGCATTAAAATTATGTCAGCAAGGAAAATCTTCCAGTATTCTCTCTCTCTCTTTTCCTCTCTCTCTCCACACACACACCCGCGCAGATGCCACCTCAATTAGTGAACAACTCATCCATTTTATCTGGGCCCAGGAGGATTCCTGGGACCTGAGACTTTCAGTGGGAGAACTAGGACAAGTCGATTGCCCTAGCTCAACAGAGATATTTTGATTTTGGCTTAGAAGAGTGTGCTAGGCGTGTACGCCCATGGCTGATTCATGTGAATGTATGGCAGAAATCACCACAATATTGTGAAGTAATTAGCCTCCAATTAAAGTAAATAAATTAATTTAAAATAAACTTAAAAAAATAAAATGAGAAAGTTGAAAAAAAAAGAAGAGTGTGCTAGGGAGCAGAGGAGAGCGCAGAGCACTCCCACTCAGTGTGAGCGCAGTTCTGCTCACCCGGCCGTCCTCACAGTCCTGGAAGCCGCCGCAGGTCAGGCTGCTGTGCTGCCTGAGGGAGCTGGCATCGCAGGCAGCCTTGAGAGTCACTGGAAGGAGAACAGGCGGAAGCTGGTGAGCCTGAGACATCAGCGGGACCCCTGAGGACCAGCAGCGCCCCTGGAAACACGCAAGTGGTTAAGATGACTTAAAACAAAATGTGTATTTTCTCAAAACTGACAGCTCCAAGAGGAAAAGTAGATGTTTAAGCTTTGGGGTAACTCTTTGCACTTTGAGTTTGTCAGATCTGACTTCTGCTGTGCATAAATATATTACATTTTAGTGGTTTATTTAATTACAATTAGATGTATCATAAGATTTTAAGGAAAATAAAAATCATAAGCTGTTAGCTAAATGGAACTTGTTCACCTTCCTAAACAAGATGGAGTGTCCTGAGGTTGAGGACTTTGTCTTACTCATCTCTGTACTTCAAGTGCTTGATCAGGTAGTTGTTCTTGTCTAGTTGCTAAGTCGTGTCTGACTTTTTTGTGACCCCAAGGACTGTAGGCCACCAGGTTCTTCTGTCCATGGGGTTTCCCAGGCAAGAATACTGGAGTGGGTTGCCATTTCTTTCTCCAGGGGATCTTCCTGACACAGGGATCAATCTCCTGCATTGGCAGGCAGATTCTTTACCACTGAGCCACCAGCAAAGCCTGATCAAATAGTACGTGCTCACTAAAAGTTACTGAACACATTAATGAATGTGAGATCTTAAGAAACAACAGACTTGTAGTCTCTTGGTAAGGAAAACTCTTCTTTAAAATTATTTTATCCTGGAGACGTTCATTTCCTGAGTTAGGAAATACCAGTATAAATCTATTATAATTTTTATTCTTTGAAACATTTTCAGGAATTTCCTTTAAACCAATGACAGATACAACATATTGATGAGCACTCTTAGAAGGTATAATTTCTTAGAAATTTCTGTTTTTTTTTGAGAAGTCATTATTTGTGTTATCTGCTCTTGGTTTTTCAGAGGTACATCTTGGGAGCAGAAAGGAGGACATTGCTGCCCTGAAATAGTTCATGTATCTACTCTGAGAGTAGCTGGTAACCTAGTCAACTCCTAGAGAACAGCTCACAACATGGCATGATGAGAAATGATGATTACTAAAGCACGGTTCTTGTTACAAAGTAACAATAATCACTTTCACTTGGAGCATCAAGTGACGCATTAATAGGGAATAATAACATAAAAAACAAAAGCAACCTCAATCCCTATATAGTAGTACATATTTTCTTAAGAAATAGAAGATCCTATAGATTTAAATTGTTAGTGAAGCCTAAGTTAAGAGGGTTTTATTTTGTTTTGCCAATAAAAAAAAAGATGTAGAGTCATAGGTTATTTTTTATGAACAAAAGTTTTCAGTTATTTATATTTCTCTAAAATATGAAAAAGATTAAATAGCATCACCATAGCAATTGTATTAAACTCTGGATCTTTATTTATCTTTAATATTTGTTTATTTATTTGGGCTGCACCAGGTCTTGGTCGCAGCACACATGATCTCTAGTTGCAGCATTCGAACGCTTAGTTGCAGCATATGGGATCTAGTTCCCTGACCAGGGATCGAACCAAGGTCCCCGGCATTGGGAGTGTGGAGTCTTAGCCATTGGACCACCAGGGAAGTCCCAAACTTTGGCTCTTTAGAAGAAAGCGTTGCCAGTGGCGTCACATGGTCTGGTAAACTATTCTCCCCATATTGCTCCCTAAAACTGGAGATAGATTCAGAAATGATGTGCAAATAGTAATGAAAAGCCAAATCAGAGATTCTCTGCCCAAAATAATAATACCCAATACCCTACCATTTAATTATCACCAATGTGATATTGATGTAATATACAGGTAAAAAAAAATCTTTTTCTTTTTATTTTCAGTACCTGTGCTCCATAAGCAAGCATTCTGAGATAGTTTACTTCTCCGCAGATTCTGAACTCCTTTTTAGAGGAAAGATCTGTGCTTTAAAATGGGACCAGGTTTAAGATTGTGGTGGGTTGGATATTAGCCACAGGTCTTCACTCCCTATAACAGTACTGTGCACCTCCACCTCTGCCACGGTCCCAGCCCTGCCCCTTGACTGTGGCCTCGTTATTTGACGGATGGAATATGATACAAGTAATACTGTTCCAGCTCCAAGCCCAGGACTTAAGAGGAAACTTGCATTTTTCGTCACCCCACCTTTGTTTCTACCACTGCTGTGGCCAGTCCACTAGTTCAACAAGGAAAAGAACCATGAGAAGTAGACTGGACTCCAGCCTGAGAAGAACCAAGCCCAGGAGGACCCACAGCTTAGGTAGTGACACCCAGCTGAGTCCAGCCTAGATCAATCATACCTCAGACAACCCACAGAGGGATAATCTAGCGCGAATGATTGTCCTAAGTCACTGAGTTTGGGGTGGGGGTCAGGGGTAGTTTGTTATGTGGTAATAGATAACAGCTACAAAGACCAGGATATATATCAGCACCAACAATGGTCCTGGCAAGCCACTTATTCCTAAGAAAAGTCATAATAAAAGCTTGAATACCCACCACAGAAGAGTTCATCGCTTTCATCAAAGCAGTCATTTACTCCATCACATCGCTGGGCCTGAGGGACGCACAAACCAGAGGAGCATCTAAAAGATCCAACAGGACAGGCTAGAGACAACAAAAAATAGGAAATCTTGTGTGGGTCCCTAAAATGCACCAGACCACATTAACAAAGAAATGTGAGTTGCTAAGTGACGTGAGTAGCAATGTGGCAATAGTAATAATATAATTTCTCCATCAAAGCAAAGCTATAGCTGATATTTGAAAGAGCAAAAGGGAGAATTTAAGAGAGCAAAGAAAGCAAACAAATCCACAAGAAGTTGAGTCAACACTGCATCCAGTTCACCATGTACAATCAGACTCCTACATCTCTACCCTTGACTCAGCAAGGATGTGAGTCTTGGCTTTATCCCAAACTCAAAGAAAGAGAAACCTGGAGCATGACTTCAAATCTAGTAGGCTCAGAGTGCAGTCTTTAGAGTGTCTGGGGAATTTAAATGGCTTTCTGGTGTCTCTGAATCCTCTACGATCAGATACATCATTCTGAGTCTGTGCATTTAATTACATTTTCAAGTGATCTCTGCCATAAAATGTATTAATAACCACTGATCTTAAAGGTTGGACCTAGAGAGATTAACAACTGTTCTCAAAACTCAGGACTTCTAAGGCACTTCAACAAGCCTACTCATCAAAGATTCATTGCCTGCCTGGCCCAGAATCTTTACTCCTGGGCTTGTAGCTTATCATGATAGTAATAATGAATGTTTTTTCTCTGCCATGGTCTAAAGGACTGTGTTCTTCACCCCCAAATTGCTATGTTGAAGTCCTAATGCCCAAGGTGGTGGTAGGAGGAGATGGGGCCTTTGGAAGGTGATAATGATGAACACAGAGCCCTCATGAATGAGATGAGTGCCTTTATTTCTATACTAGGCCCAGAGCATCCTCACTCCTTCCATCACTCTAGGACATAATGAGAAGTCTGAGGCCAGAAGATGGCCCTCCTTCAACCAAGCTGGAACATGATCTTGGATGTCCAGCCTCTAGAACTGTGGAAAGCAAATTTCTGTTCTGTATAAGCTACCTAGTCTGTGCTTTGTGCAGATGAATAGGAATAGGGCATGGTGAGGTCAACCACTGTCTCACTAGCACACAATGGAGAGGATGAGTTCCTAGAAAATATTCATCATTCGAAAAAATAGTTAAAAATAAGGTAGCTTACTATTTACCTCTGTCCTCACTGGTGACTGTGATATTCTGATATTCAGAAGTGCAAGATTCTGAATCCAGAAGGAGGTATATTAGTATTGGCAGAGATGGAAGGGTCTAACTGAGCTTTCTCTCAAGTCTTAACCTCATGGATTCCTAAGTGGTTAACCTTTACTTTCCCTGCTTTTAAAACAGGTCATGAATTTCCTGAGTCAGGGTCTACTCTCTCCAGCGCTAATGACCTCCCTCAGGCATTGCCTTTTCCCCTGACCTCTTCCTGGCCATGCTTCCCAATAGTTCTCAGTGTGAAGTTCAACATTCTGAAGGTTGGCATTTGGACTCCTTGAATGGCCAGCTTTCCCTGTGTATCAGAGGTCGTAGTGAATTGCAACTATTGCCCTTCAATCCACCAAATGATGGTGTAAACTTCATATTTACAAAAAATTATGGATGGCGAGAACAATGAATCAAGAAATTGTCTGATATTTCAGGAACAATGTAAGAAACTATTTTTCAATTTTAACAAGCAATTATGTTATTCTTTAATTTAAGCTTCAGCAGAATAAATACATAATTATATGTATTATTTATCATATATTTTGCTTCTACTATATATTTATTTAAATATCATTATAAAAATATGCTAGTCAATAACAGAAGTAAAGAAGCAGTTTTCATTCCTTAAATTCTCAAAGTTTCTTAAAGTTTAGAGTCATAACATGTTGGCCTCTGTTTAACCTTTCGTTACGGTTTCTTAAGGGACTGATCTCCATCTTACGTTGACTGATGTAACTGCCATATTCCACCAAAAGCGGCTTGTCCGAAAGCCTTCAACTGCACTGCAGCTGACTGTGAACCAGAGAGCTGGGCACTCGGAAAATCGTCTGGTGATCCATGTAGGAGCCGCAGTACCTGCCAGCAAGAGTTAGGGGCACACAGCTTGAGACTGTGTTAACTGCTTGGTGACCAAACTCACTGATACTTTGGTCATTTGAGCTTCATAAACAGAGACGCTTATAGTAACGCTGATGGTAGTCTGATGGTAGTCATCCATCCTATGCTAAGTGATTATGATTGAGTCACTTCTGTCCCCTCGATTTTCTCCCTTGCTAAATAAAACAACAGCAGTGCTCTAAATGTTATTACCTGTTACTTTCCTCACCAATACTTAAAATTGGAATAAATATGGGTTTATATCTCTTAGTCTTCTCTCTTCTTTCAGTATATATATAACTGCCTAACAAAAAAAGAATTGCCTACTTTGTTCAGCTACAGACCTCTCTACAGAACGGAGTGAAATCCATCAACTAAAATTAAAAGCATGCAAAAAATTCCAGCAACACTTAAAACAAAAGACAACATTTCAGTCTAATTTAAACTCTGGTGAACTTCAGGGCTTGTCCTTGGCAAAATTTCAAAATAGTGATATCTATCTGCAATATTTCCCTACTTCAGTTTCTTACTTCTCATCAGCTAGGAGAAAATGTCCCTCCTATTATTAGTTTTTATTATCTGAGCACTATGGTTAGTGGAACATGAAGTATAATCATTAATACACTGGGTACCCATGGTAAGTTAGGCTCTGCCCTGTGTGGTCAAGACTTTTCCAGGTGAAATATGTAAGTTTCCAAAAGGAACCAATAAACCCTAGGCTTGAGGGAGGTCATTCTCCTTTGGAATCTGTGAATGGCAATCGCTCCAGGTCCCCAAAGCATTTGGGAACCACACATGTTCCATGGATCAGATGCTATTGTTCAGTAGGAAGAGCCTATCATTTCACAGTTCAAAGTGAGTGAAGTGAAAGTTGCTCAGTTGTGTCCAATTCTTTGCAACCCCAAGGACTATACAGTCCATGGAATTCTCCAGTCCAGAATACTGGAGTGGGTGGCCCTTCCCTTCCTCCAGGGGATCTTCCCAACCCAGGGATCGAACCCAGGTCTCCTGCATTGCAGGCGGATTCTTTACCAACTGAGCTATCAGGGAAGCCCCATAGTTCAAAGCATTCATGTATATTTCAGAAAGAATCTTTTGCATTTGGCTGAAGTTCAGGAGCTGATGGGTGAATATACCAGCTCTGGGGATATGGGGAGCTGCAAGGGCCCAACTGGCTAAGTGGGAGCCAGCATCCAAGAGGTACCTAACAGCTGAGTCAAGCTCTTGGCTCCAGAGTCTACTCTAGGTGTTCATCTTGGAATCAGAATCATGCATTCTAATATCACAGTGATTGTATCAGTATCTCATAGTGATTTTAACATGTACTAGAGTTTTCTTGCAAAGATGAGCACACTGGTAGTTCTGATGGGAAGAACTGACTCTTTTGAAAAGACTCTGATGCTGGGAAAGATTGAATGCACGAGGAGAAGGGGACAACAGAGGATGAGATGGTTGGATGGCATCACTGATTCAACGGACATGAGTTTGAGTAAACTCCGGGAGTTGGTGATGGACAGGGAGGCCTGGCATGCTGCAGTCCATGGGGTCGCAAAGAGTCAGACATGACTGAGCAACTGAACTGATAGTGGTAGTTTATGAAACGAACGTAAAATAAAGTGAGAGACTGAGAAACCCAGCAAGTGTTAGTTTACATGGACCGATGAGTGACAGGTAAGAAAACTGAGATGTAAGAGGTGAAGTAATTTGTTAAAGTTCAAATAGCAAATAAGAAGAGATAGGATTAGGATAGAGTTCAACAGATACTAAACCTTTACACTTTCTAACAAACCAACTGCCCTCCTCTCAGGAACTTGGTTGTACAAAAGCTTTGTGGGAAGCTGTCCCTTTTTCAGGTTTGCATACTGCATTCTAGCTGCCCTGAGCACTCACACCCTACCGCTGTGTTCTCTAAATCTAGGATCACCAGGCTTCCGGGCACCAGCGTTACTTTTTCTTCCATCCCTGCTCTAGATCCAAAGCCTTTAGGCTACTTAGCAGCAAAGTGTCAGAAATTAGTTCAATTAGAGCCTTTTTGATGAAAAGAACTGATAATGAAAAGGGCTGGCATTTAAAATCCTTTGGGTACTGCTAGTATCAAAAGAATCTGAGAGGATTTCAGCCAACCCACAAGACAAGGGGAAGAACTAGCCCTTCAGGAGAAGTATTTAGGGCAGAGAGCTTTCCTGGTATTTGTGGGACGAAACTGTCCATATTTTCGTAGCAATGCATCATGGGTGGTAGGGGTTGTTACTTAGGTGGGGGAAGTATCCCATCTTCAAAGTGCTGCTTTAAGCATATAAGCTTACAAAAGATTTGTAAAGATTTGTGCTCTGGACCTCTGATTAAATACCAAAATGCTGTATCTTTAAAGCCTTGGGGCATATTCCAAAGTATTTATGCATCTGATGTCATTTCCTTAGCAATCTTAATCATATTAATCATAGTTAATATATTTTGATGTAAGATAAGCATCATTTCACTGAATGCTTACCAAAAAACTCCACCTTATTACCTCATTTTACAGACTGACAATCAAAGCAATTAAATAATTTGTCCTAGTTAATACAGCTACAAAATAACAGGGCTGCAACTTGAACCTAGGTCTTCTGCCTCCTACATAATAGACTCTTGTTTCAAAAATACTTTCCAAGGGAGTACAGGCCACACATTAATAATGGATCCAAGAAAGCCTTTAAAACTAGCAGAAAATGAAAGTAAAAGTGTTAGTCGAATAACCTACAACCTAGATTACTGTACCCAGCAAGGATCTCATTCAGATATGAAGGAGAATTCAAAAGCTTTACAGACAAGCAAAAGCTAAGAGAATTCAGCACCACCAAACCAGCTCTTCAACAAATGCTAAAGGATCTTCTCTAGACAGGAAA